CAGGCTGATCTCGAACTCCTGGACTCAAGCAATCTGCCTGCCTTGGCCTCCCAAAGTGCTGAGATTACAGGCGTGTGGTATCCTGCCCAGCCACAAAGCACTTTCACATTTTTTATGTGACCAACCTTGATACAGCCACTGGGACTCAGGGCTAGGATTGTCCCCTTATCAAGGTGAGGACACAGGCTCAGAGAGTCAAAGGCTGGCTAGACAAGGGGAGAGAGACAGAGCTCAGCTGATAATCACTGGACTCTGGATTCTGCCAAACCTTTGGAACCTTCCAGCATCAGGCCTCCACAGCTTCACAGAAACTGGGCAAGTCTTAACTCTCTAAGCTTCTGTCTCCTCACCTAAGCACATTAGTGCTCACCTCCAGGGTTGTTAGGAGGATAATGAGGGAATGTCTTGGCCTACACATAAGTGCTCCATCAGTGATTACCTAAAAACATCGACAGACAGTTCCAGACATCGTCTCCAGAGCAGGCGCTGTGAGAGGTGCGGACATGCAACAGACAGGTCCTTCTCCAGGGGCCTCTGCAGGTCCCTTGCAGAGCTGGCGTTCAGTCCTGCCAGCTGTGGCAGGACACTTTCCTGTTCAAGGGATTGGCTTCCCCTGATATAAAATAGACATGCTGAAATGGCTTACCAACCCAGGAGTTGCCAGGAGACCCCATGAAGGTTCTGCTCTAATATTTGCAACCAGTTTTTCTTTTTTCTTTTTTTTTTGAGATGGAGTTTCCCTCTTGTTGCCCAGTCTGGAGTGCAATGGTGTGATCTTGGCTCACCTCAACCTCCACCTCCTGGGTTCAAGTGATTTTCCTGCCTCAGCCTCCCAAGTGGTTGGGATTACAGGCATGCGCCATCACACCCGGCTAATATTTCTATTTTTAATAGAGACAGGGTTTCTCCATGTTGGTCAGGCTGGTCTCAAACTCTTGACCTCAGTAATCCGCCTGCCTCACCCTCAAGTGCTGGGATTACAGGCATGAGCCACCGCGCCCGGGAGTAGCTAGTATTTCTTATCCCTTATTTTGTGCCGGGCACCGGGCCTCATTCATTACTGGCACTTAGTAAGGATTCATGGGATTAATGAGAAGTTAACCTGAATCTTCACCAAAGGCCACTGAGCTTCCCTCAATCTACATACAACGGCCCTGGGTCCCTGAGAGGTGGGCTGTGATGTGTCCCTGGAAGACAGACCCATGAGTGCACCTGCAGAGCTGACGCGGGGAGGGTTCAGGCAGGGCCAGGGGCTTAGAGGAGCTGAGATTAATGTCGCCCTTTACCCACTGACCCTCTGCAGGCGCTGGGGCTGTGGAGACCCGGAGTCGCCACAGCTCGTACCCCGCAGGGACGGAGGAGGACGAAGGGATGGAGGAGGAGCCCAGCCCCTTTCGGGGCCGTTCGCGCTCGGCACCCCCCAACCTCTGGGCAGCACAGCGCTATGGCCGCGAGCTCCGGAGGATGAGTGATGAGTTTGTGGACTCCTTTAAGGTGAGCGCCGGTCCCCAGCGTGCCAGGACCTGCAGTCCCAGGACGCCGCCCGCCGGTCCGTTCTTTCCTTGTCCCAAGGCACGCCCGGATCTGGTCCCACGACCCCTCCCCAACGCCGTCCGGTCCCTTCCTAGCTTCAGAGCATTCTGGGATCTCTAGTCACGGGATCTTACCCCCACCCCTTAGCTCTTCTCTTCCAAATCCCCGGGCAGGCAGGATTCCCCGACCTTGGTGAAGGGGGTGGGGGGTGGGGGGGATGCGGGTGTGTGTGTGTGTCCGTCCCAGGGCATGCTGGGATCTGTAGTCTAGATCCCACTCCAGGCCAAAGCTCCTGGGTTCCCCGCATTCTCGGAGGGCCAGGCATGCTGGTATCTGTGCTCCTGGCTGGCACCTGGATGCTCTGTCGCCCAGGCTGGAGTGCAGTGGTGCACTCACGGCTCACCGCAGCCTGGAACTCCTGGCCTCAATCCTCCCGCCTCATCCTCCCAAAGTGATAGGATTACAGGCGCTCACCACCGCTCCCGGCCTTTTAATTCTTGAATCGCGGTCCCATCTTCTGAGTGCTAAGTTTCCAGCTCTGGCCTTTCCATTTAGGGCCCTAGGTATCCTCTCTTCCCGTCCCCAGCACGGAGTTCCCGGGATCTAACCAGTTCCCATTCCTGAGGGCCCATGCGTCCTCCCAAGCGTCCCCGACCACCCAGCGTGAAGCCTGCTGGAAGTTGTGGCCTTCATTATCTGCGCCCCCCATCTCAGAGGAGGGGTCACGGAAGTGGACGGTATGGCTCGAGCCGCCCTGGTAATCTAACTCATGTAACCCTTTTCTCCCCACACCCGGAAGGGACTTCCTCGCCCGAAGAGCGCGGGCACAGCAACGCAGATGCGGCAAAGCTCCAGCTGGACGCGAGTCATCCAGTCCTGGTGGGATAGGAACTTGGGCAGGGGAGGCTCCGCTCCTTCCCAGTGACTTTCGCTCCACATCCCGACACTCCACCAACTCCCATCGCCCTGAGCGGCCATCTTGGATATGGGCGGAAGTGCTTCCTACAGGCCTTATGCAAAAAGAGGATCCGCGCTGTCTCTTTCGGAGGGCGGGCTGACCCAGATTCCCTTCCGGTGCGTGTGAAGCCGCGGAAAACTTGGTACCATCGGAAGTTTTGCGTTTTCCGCCGGTAGCCCCCGGAAGTGGCTCCACGGCCCCGCCCTTCGGCACCGGGCTGCCTCCAGGCGCCTGAGCCAAGTCACGACCCAGGCTTCACCGTTGCGTCACCGGGACCGAGCCCTCGCGATGCCCTGCGGACTGCGCTCGCTACCAAATGTTAATAAAGCCCGCGTCTGTGCCGCCGAGGCTTCTGTGCTTCCCTGTGCATCGACGGGGGCTCCGCGGGCCGGGGTAGTGCTCTCACGGATACTTTCAAAAGAGGCTGCCCTTTTTTTTTTTTTTTGAGATGGAGTTTCGCTCTTGTTACCCAGGCTGGAGTGCAATGGCGCGATCTCCGCTCACCGCAACCTCCGCCTCCTGGTTTCAGGCAATTCTCCTGCCTCAGCCTCCCAAGTAGCTGGGACTACAGGCGAACGCCACCACGCTCAGCTAATTTTTGCATTTTTAGTAAAGACCGAGTTTCACCATGTTGACCAGGATGGTCTCGATATCTTGACCTCGTGATCCACCCGCCTCGGCCTCCCAAAGTGCTGGGATTATAGGCGTGAGCCACCGTGCCCGGCCAGAGGCCGCTTTCTTAAGAGGGTAACTGAGGCTTTGCCTGACATCCAGCGACAGAGACGGCAGGGTTCGGGGCGGTTCGCGGGCCAGGGCTGCGCGGCCTAGGTCCAAGTGCCCAGCACGCGCTTTGGGACCGCAGCGCTGTGCAAACCGTGCTGCGGCCCCCCAGGGAGAGTCACTGGCTCCTATTTGGGTCAGCCCTTGCCAGCAGCTACTGTGTGGCCGGCCCAGGGCCAGCGCTGCCCGGGGACAGGACACACGGCGCGAGAGGGAGTAACGGAGCTGGACTGGGAGCAGGGTGGTCATTGGAAACCGAGGCTACACGCGGTGACCCGGTCAGACTCGGGGCTCCGTTCCAGAAAGATTTATTAGCGCCGCCCCATAACCTGGGTCGGTGCTTGGTGCTGGGTACAGAGATGCTTTGCGCCATAGCTCTGCTCGTGGAAGCGCCCGGGGGCCCAGAGTCGGCAGAGCAGTCAGGGAGGGCTTCAGGAAGGAGGCGGCTAGAGCTGCGACCTGAAGATGAGGTGGGGGAGGAGGGGGGTCATCCCTCCTGGCGCGAGGGGAGGAGTGGACCCATGGAAGGATGGGGGAGCAGCAGGGGCCAGGCTTCTGAGGGGCTGGAATGTCACACCCAGAAGTTAGCAATTTAGCTGGTATTTGAGGACCCAGGAACTGATTTGGAGTGTGTCCCTCAGTGGACAGCAGCCAGTCAGGGAAATGGGAGTTGGCTGCTAAGGGGGCTGGATACGGAATACACTGGAGTGGGCAGGACTGGGGGAGCAGGCTGGGTCCCGCAGCAGAAGTGAGGAAGGCTGGGGCTGTGGCATTGACCCTGAGGGAGGAGGGCCCTGCTCCGGAGCCTGTTTCCCTGGCCTCCCCACCCCATCTGTTTGACTGAGGCCACAGCAAAAACAAAGCAAAGAAAATACTCAATTGGCAGGAGATAAGCCCAGATAAGAGGCCGCCTTCCCCTGGAGGAGGGATGCAGGCAGGCAGCCTGGGAAGCGCCAGGAAGCTGGGAGAGGCCTTGAAGAGGTGCCAGGCTGACCCTGCTGGGAGCCAGCCCCACCCTGGAGCCCTCGCTGTGGGCTCTCCACCACTCTTCGCTGGTCCCGAAGCACGGGACAGGTCCAGGTTGGCTGAAGACAGTCCACCACGGAGGGTCCAGGCCTGCCCTGCCTCCAGGTCAGGACGTCTTGACTGAGCTGTGGCCTGGCACAGGAGAGATGGCTCCGGGCCTCAGTCTCCTCATCTGTAAAACAGGCATAACATCTCCCTCACAGGGACGAGGGGATGCCAGGTGGCCCAGCCCGTGTCTGTCCGCTTCCCTTCCCCCAGTGTCACAGGCAGGTCCGGGCCCCCTAGTGTGGGCAGGTTCTCTGCCCTGCTCCACCCGGGCCGATCTATCACCGATAGAGTCAACTGCCTGTCGGGGCCCAGAGCAGCCAGGGCGGAAGATGCTAGGCGTTTGGGTCATATCAGGCCACAGGAAAGGGGGCAGGGAAGGCTTCCTGAAGCAGAGGCCTGAGCCTCAGCGAAGAGAGAACAGGGAGAGCCGTGGAGGGAAGAAAGTGGTGGGGAGGGGGAACAGGAACAGCGGCCTGGAGGCACAGGCAGAGAAAGCCACAGACACTCGGCAGGCTCAGCAGGGCAGGCTTGGGTTCAACCAGCAGCCCTTTGCCACAGGCATGACCTCAACCCCACAAAGGCCCGAAGCCCATTTCATAGATGAGGAAACTTAGGGCCCAGAGTCCTCTCACCCCAAATCACACTGCACACAGGGTCCCTGAAATCCTTTTATTCATGTAAAAAAAATCCCCAGAGAGTAGAGAAAAACTGTGACTCCTACTTCCCGGAGCTCCGCGTCTCTAGCCAGCTCTCCCAGGAAGGGAAGGAGACGCTGCAAGCTCGAGGGTGTGGGTGTCACGGGGAGCAAGGCCCTGAGCAGGGCCCCAACAGAGAACTTAGGGCAGGAAGGAGGGGCCCCAGGAGGATGAAGGGAGTTAGCTGAGGTACTTGCCCCGGGTTTAAAAAAATAAAATTTCTAGAGATAAAAAGTTAAAAAAAAAAAAAAAAAGGCTTAGTGTCGTTGCCTCCTGCCCTCCACCCGGTGCCAACCCTGGCCCTGCGGCCACCTCGTGCTCAGCCAGTTCAGAGCTGCGTGTTCTCCTCCTGGCTCTCCGAGTCAGCGCCCGACAGGTGCCCACTGCTCCCAGGTGCGTGACCGTTGCTGGCACAGGCCACCAGAGGCCTGTCCCCCAGCCCCTCCGACGTCTCGCCCAGCAGGCTCCGGCGGATCTCCTGGGGCAGCCTCGCCCGCTGCTCCTGACACTCCTGGGCCAGCTGGGCCAGCAGCTGTGGGAGGAGGGTGATCACAGGGAGGCCTGGCTGCCCTGCACCCCGCCTGCCCTCCTGCCCGCCTGCCCTCCTGCCTGCCTGTGGCCTCACCTTGGGCTCCTCTTCTGCCAGCTGTTGCAGGACCTGCTGCTGCCCTGCCTCAAGACGGTCGTGCCGCTGCTTCTGGGCCTCCTCCAGCTACACGGGTGGACAAGGGCTCAGCTGAGGGGCCCTGAGGGAGGGGCTCAGGCCTTGGGGCTTTGGCTGGGTATAGAAGCCAGGTGGGCAAGGCCAGGCACAGTGGCCTCAAGCCTGTAATCCCAGCACTTTGGGAGGCTGAGGCAGGCGGGTCCCCTGAGGTCAGGAGTTAGAGACCAGCCTGACCAACATGGTGAAATCCCATCTCTACTAAAAATACAAAAATTAGTCACCTGTGGTGGCGAATGCCTGTAATCCCAGCTACTTGGGAGGGTGAGGCACAATCGCTTGAACCCAGAAGGCGGAGGTTGCAGTGAGCTGAGATCACACCACTGCACTCCAGCCTGGGTGACATACCGAGACTCCGTCTCAAAGAAAATAAAAAAGTCAGGTAGCTGAAGGCTCCCAGGGTGGTGTACCAGGGCTGTGAGAGGACCGGGCCCGAGGACACCAAAGCCAGGGGCATTGATGCAGACAGCTGGCTCTGGGTATGATGTGGGCACTCTGGGGCTGTTGGGCATTTGGGAAAGGTTCTAGAAGAACCTTGAGGACAACATGGCACCAGGCCAGGCACGGAGAACGGTGTCTGATGAGTGAAGGAAGGGCGCTGGGGTAGGGTGGGCTGGGAGCCTGACTCACCCGACGGATGGAGTTGACAGACTCAGTGATATGCCGACGATTAATCTCTGTCAGTTCCCTGCACAGGAGCAACGCAGGATGGCTCGGCGCCCAGGCACCTGCCCTGCCCCCCAAATGCCCCAGGCACCCACCCTGCCTCCCCAGTACCCAGACGGCACAGGCACCTGCCTTTTCCCCCTAGTCCCCAGACGGCCCAGGTGCCCACTCTGCCTCCCCAGTGCCCACACGGCCCCCGGCCCAGGTGCCCTTACACCTCCTTCTTATGCTTGTCCCGCGTCTTGGCCTCCGAGATGCTGTTGTGGCGCTTTCTGTCCAGGATCTTCTGCAGCTCCTTCTTCTCCCTGGAGAAGCAGGCAGGGGAAGGGGAGTGGTCAGCAGCAGAAGCACAGACTCCGCCCTCCTCCTGGCGTCCAGACCCCCCCATAGACCATCGTCACCCTTCACCTCTCGTTCGTCTCCTTCAGCCTCTTGAACTGAGTTGTGTTTGCATCAAGGACGACCTCCCTGAGCCGCTGCTGAGCCTGTGGACACATGGGACCTGATGGGTGACGCTGGGCTGATGACAGGTCTATCCAGGAGGCTTTTTCTGGCCACCGAGGGCCCCTCACCTGTTTCAGATGCTCCAGCCTCCGCTGGGCCTCCGTGTCTGCCTGGGCCTCCCGCAGCTCCAGCAGGCTCTGCACCTGTCTGTTCTGGAACTCCTGATAGCGCTTCACCTCATCCTCCCCCTCCTTTGAGTCCTCGTCAGCGGCCCGACCTCTGCGAGGAGAAACCCTCTGGGTGACGCTTGAGTCCACCACATGGGACTGGGACAGGGAGGGTGCGAGGGAGGGCCCATCCCGCAGGCGATGGCAGACACCACCCTGTGTAGCCAGGTCTGTTATGCAAACCAGGAGTCTGTTAGCACCACCCAAGTGAAGGGAGACTGTTTGGGCAACAAGCTCCTCATGGGGGACTTCAAAAGAGATGTCACTCCCTGGGGGACACTGGGGGCCTGGTGTGGAGCCTCCTCTGTTCTTGCACTGAACCCTCCTCCCTGGGGGTCGAGGAGCGGCTCTTGCCATCTCCATGCCCAGCGACCCCCATGTTCACATCAGCACCCCCAACACACCCAGCACCCAGCCAGGCCGGACACTCACAGGGCACCTGGCCGTGGCCGGCACCTGCTCTCCGCCTGTGCCTGAGCCAGGCCATCCAGCAGGCGGCGGGTGAGGGTGACCACCTTCCGCTGATGCTTCTTGCGCAGCTCCCGAAGCTCTCGCTCCTGCCGGCTCCGGAGCTTGACCAGAGCCTTGTGTCCTCGGAGCTCGTCCAGCGGGGTGGGGGCCACCTCTGGGAGTGGCAAAGCAAAGGTGGGCAGGGGGCAGGGGAACAGGACTGGGCAGGCCAACCTGCAGGGCAGCCACTGCGCCCCCCTGCCTCCAGGTACCCAGCCCCCTACCTGAGAGGATGCTGGCGATGAGATCATCGCGCTGCCCTGGGGAGCAGAGGCCCGGTGAGGAGCTGGACGACAGGGCCGTGGGGTGCCTCCCCTCGGCCCACCCTGGCCAGGCCACTCCTTACCTGGGCTGCTCAGAGAGGCGCTGGTAGGGGAGGTGGCAGGGCCAGGGGGCCGGCGTGGGGAGGCATCGAGTGGGCTAGGGCTGGGGTTTGGGGACAGCTGAGACCCCAGCTGCTGAGACTGGGTGTCTTGGCATGTCTCATAGCCAGCCTGAGCCTACGTGGAGAAAGGAGAATGCTCATTCCAGAATGCTGTTGCCTCTGGGCCCTTCTGTCCTCCACCACCCCCGGGCCCCCGGCACCCCCATCAGCCTCCCTTAGCCCAGCTGCTGGGCTCCTTTGTGGCAGGAGGCTGTCTGGGCACCTGCAGAGGAGAGATACAGATCATGCTTTCCTGAGCCCCTTTTCCACATGGGCTGTGGGGAAGATAACCTAACAGCAGCCACTGCCTGTGCTCAGGAACTCCCAGATTGTTCTGGAAAGGCCTGACTAAGTCCCGAGCCTCCTCTCCTCCCCTGCCCATGTCCTCCGCCCTTGTCTACAGTCGCTCATTTTCCTTGCTGCTCAGCTCCTGATTAAATCAACAAAGGATGAGACCGCAGAGTGGGCACCAGCCTCTCCGCTAACAGCTCCGGGCAGCCCTAATTGCAGTCGTCTCTCCCTACCCGCCTGCCACAGGCCCTGGGGGACTGGGTCTGGAAGCACAGGTGAACCTCTTGGCCTGACCCCTCCCCACGGAGGCCACTGCCCTCCTCATGGCTCCCAGGACCCCACATCTGAGCAGCTTCTGTGGCTTCACACTGCCCTGACACAGTGGCTGGGACCCCTGTACCCCCATGTGGAGCCTGCATGGAGCTGGAGGAATTCCAGCCCAGGTCTGACCTGAAGGCCTCCTGAATGCAAATGGGTGCTCTTCATTTCCTCAAAATCCCAGGGCTGCCAAGCTTACTGAGCTAGAGAGACCAGAAGCCCCCATGCCACGTGGCCACAGCTGTCATGTCCAGTGGCCCCCTGGGTCACAGCAAGCCTGGGCCCTGCCCTGACCCGGCTTACCTCACTCTCACCAATGAGGGCAGCCAGTTGGCGGGCCCTCTGGTCCATCAGGCTGACGTGCTTAATGGGGTTGATCAAGGCCTCCGCGTAGTCTAGGGGGAGGCAGAAGGCCAGGGTTTCAGAGATGGAGCCCCCAAGCCACACCCTGCCCATCCGCCCTGGTGTCAATGAGGAATTGCAGAACTTGTCCTCAGGTCTGTTCACCACTCAGTTGGGGCCACCCAGCTCGGCCACTCCCAGGCCCTGAGGATGGCCCTTGTCCCTCACCCTCCCTGGCCAGTCTGGTCCCCAAGGCATGGCTCACCCTGGTGGTCATCAGGAATGTAGTCCGAGGCCTCGGTGTAGATGAGTAGGGCCGGCAGACACAGCGGTTGGTTGGCCTCGTTCCGCAGGCAGACATAGTGGTACCCTGGGCGGGCAGGAGGCCAATGTTGGGTTGCTGGGTCCGGCGGAGCCCCTACCCACTGCCCATTGGGCTGCCCAGAGCCCACCAAGGCCTCACCGGAGCGGATGGCAGAGACAGGCAGGATCCGGTGCCCCACAAATTTGCCGCCCTCCTCAAAGGCTGCGATGCGAAGCGAAGCCAGCGTGGGCAGCACCACCTGCGGGCCAGACCGGAGCTGAGCCACGGGGCTGACCCCGAACCACTGTGGCCACTGTGGCCACCAGGCCACAGCTAACCACAGCCGTCAAAGCCTAACAGCAGACCTTTAGCTGAGCTGACCCACTGTCCATCAGTCACCATCACCATGAGCTGAGGGCTGACCCCACCTCCACAGCCTGGCCTAGTAGATGACTACAGCTATCAGCACCCCGTGGCAAGACGACAGGCAACCAGGCCCCTAGGGCCCCTACAGACAGCTCTGGTCATCTCCAATTTAGAAACGGAGTGAGCCACGAGTAGGAAGCTGCAAACACACCACCCAGGTTGGGAGCAGAGGCTGCATCCATGCGGGGCTGTGGGAGGTGTAGAAGAGCGGACGTGAGCTTGGGGTTGTGACCTCAGCTCCTGCCTTGCAGATAGGGCAGGCTCTGTCCACTCCTTGCAGGGGACACAAGACCTCTAGCTGGCACTCCCCCACCCCCATCTCACCTTCTCACCCTCGTCTCTTCCCCTGAGGAGGACAGGGAGCCTGACACTGGGAAAGGCAGGTCCTGGCAGACCCCGGGCGCCCCCCACTTTCTGATCCCCAGTCACTAACAGCCTGTCTGGTTCCTGTTCTCCCACCTGAGAGCCGGGGCAGTCGGGTCTGGATCTGCCTGTGCCTGCGTGGGCGAGGGCGCCCGGCTCACCTTGGGGAAGGCAAACGGCTCCTCGTCCCACACAGGGTTGAAGGAGTTCCCCTGAGAGGTCCGGGTGCGGTACTTGCGCCGCGTGTCAACAGGGAGGCCAAACATGTCCACCTCCACATAGATGCCCACCTTCCTGTCGGACAGGAACTGCCCCGAGATCACCTGGGGAGCAGGGAGGGTGAGGCCGCTGCGAGAGTCCTGCCCCAAGGACACCCCCGGCCTGAGCCCTCCCAGACCCCACCTTGACCCGCAAGGCATTGGCTACAATGCCATCCACGATGACTTCAGTGAAGGGGTCGAAGGACTTGTCCGGCCGCCGCATGAACTCTGGCTTGAGCAGGTACCCGCTGCGCCCGTTGTACTCGAACACGCCCGCGTTAAGCTGCATCGCCACATCTGGGGCAGCGGGGCCAAGTCAAGCAGGGCAGGCATCAGGCGGGACAGTGCCATGTGGGGGAACAGGAGATCATCAGGGGTCAGATGGCATCCAAGGCCCAGGGTCAGGGGTGGGTTCAAATGGCATCGGGGTCCAGATCCGGGGCAGATCAGACAGGGGAGGGGTCTGGCGTGTCAAAGGCAGGAGGCAGGGTGAGTCGGGGGCTGGGTTCGCCTGGAATCTGGGATTAGACAGGGTCATAAATCCATTTAGGCAAGACCAGCAGCATCGCGGGTCAGAGTCAGCAAGACTGAGGGTGAGGGTCAAGACGGAGCCCAGGGCTCACCCAGGGTCTGGAAGTTGAGTGCAACAAGCTGGCACCCCACGTTCCAGAAGAGCTGGGGCATATAGTTGGAGGAGTCCACACGGGTGCCCTTGGGGTAGATGCGGCTGAGCTGCTGCTTGTTGTATCTGAGGTTGGCGGTCAGGGGCCACACGGGTGCCAGGGCCCACCCTGTCAGCCTCCACCTCCTGCCTCAGCCAGGTGCTCCTGTGACCCCCCACATCCAGCCCCTCCGTTTCTCAGCCTCACCATCCCCTTGAGACTGCCTGGACCTGCCCAAGCCCTAGGCCAGGGTGCACGGGGGCCACAGGAGGACCAGCAGCCTGTGCAGGAGGCGCACGCGGGGACAGGACACTCCACCCTGGCCTGCCCGCCCACGGTGCCTTGAAAGGATACTCCACAAACTCCATGGGGCTCTTGGTTAGCTGCTCCATGGCCTTGGTCTCCACGAAGGACGACATCTCGAAGCATTTGTTCCTCTCTGTGGGGTGAGCCAGGAGAGGGCGTCAGGCCTGGCAGGGATAAGCTGGGCAAGCTCCCACACCAGCCGCCCACGCCTACTCACTTCGAGCAGCCTCAAAAGACTTGAACTTGACAGGCTCAATGTAGTTGACAAGCGTGGACATCTCCTCGGTGGCATTGACCTCGCTGCTGGCTGTGCCCTGTGGGCCCCAACCCAGGGTCGGCAGTGCCACTCCCACCACAGGGGACAGCCCCTCACCTGCCCCCCATGAAAGAGGCGCTGACCCTCTTCCCATCACTACACATGCACCGCTGCTGGTGCCCACACTCTTCTCCCCAGGGTCCCACTGATGCGCCCTGGACGCCACCCAGCCACTCCTCTTCTCCCTGATCCTCAGAGACTGGAGCCCGTCACCCCCACGCCCAGGGGTTCAGTTACATCCATTCCCAGCCCGTCTCCAGTCCCCACCTTGCCGCCTCCTCTCAGGTGGCTCACAGGACCCTCAAACTCAGCCCTTCCAATGGTGACTTCTGGGCACCCCTCACCACACCTTCCCTTCCTCTGGGCTCCTCTCGGATCTGACCTCTTATGACAGCCAGACTGACTTTTTTTTTTTAAGACAGAGTCTTGCTCTTTCGTCTTTCAGGATGGAGTGCAATGGTGCAATCTCACTGCAGCCTCCGCTTCCTCCCCGGCTCAAGCAATTTTCCTGCCTCAGCCTCCCAAGTAGCTGGGACTACAGGCGCCCGCCATCTTGACAGGCTAATTTATGTATTTGTAGTAGAGACGGGGTTTCACCATGTTGGCCAGGCTGGTCTTGAACTCCCAACCTCAGGCAAGCCTCCCACCTCGGCCTCCCAAAGTGCTAGGATTACAGGCGTGAGCCCCTCACTTGGCCTGTGTAGGTGTTACAATTGTCATTACTTTTGCTGAGTCATTTGGGAGTAAACTGCAGACATCATGCCCTTTACCCGTAAATACATGAGCATGCATGGACATTCTCTTAGGTAACTCCAGTACAATATTCAGTTCGGGAAACAGACATTAACGTGCGATCTAATATGCAGCCCCTCTTTAAACTTCACTAGTTCCCCAGTAATTGTCTTTATAGCAATATCTGTTTGGTTTGGGTTTTGAGACACGGTCTCCCTGGCTGGAGTGCAGTGGCACAATCTCAGCTCACTGCAACCTCCACCTCCCAGGTTCAAGCAATTCTTATGCCTCTGCCTCCCAAGTAGCTGGGCTTAGAGGTATGAGCCACCACACCCGGCTCAGACTGAGTTTTTCTGTACCACTCCTCACAGCTCCTCAACGCTTCCCATGACAACGCTCCCCGCTCCTGCACCCACTGGCCCTGCCACAGGGCCTTTGCACGTGCTGTCCCACTTCCTGAGGTCTGCCTGCCCCACCTCCCTGCCCAGCAGGCTCCCTGTCCTCTGCCAGTTCTGTATGCTAACTCACCCTCCTGGGCCACACCAGCAGCAGAACTGAATACTTTACATGCCTGATGCTAAAGACCCCTCCTCCCACCTTCACTCACACCCACACTGAGCCCCAGGAGGCCGGGGTGACGTCAGTCTTGTTGACAGTCAGACCCAGCTCCAGTGGAGGTAATAAAGATGCTGCCTTCCCCACCTGCCCGCCCTGTGGGCCTCACCTCATCTGTGGTGGGCTTTTTGGGGTCTGACTGTTCCTCTTCGTCCTCGTCTTCCTCCTCATCCTCACGGTCAGCAGGTCCAAGAGCATAGGGGCCCCGGTTCAGGCCCTCCTCGCCCAAAGATTTTCGAAGCTCCAGGCTGGGCTTCTCGAGCACCCGCTCCTCCCCATTGCTCAGGCCTGGGCAGCTATCAGAGCTGGGAGACCCTGCAGAGGACAGGGCCACAGGGTCAGGGGTCAGGGCCACATGTCTGCTCAGGAAGCCTGGAGGGGTTGTTCCCAGTGTGTGCCAAGGTGACTCGGTGGGGAAGTCACAGGGTACTCCAGGGCAGTATGGCTGGCGGAGAGGCCAAGAGGTCAGGGGTCGGACAGTATCAAACCAAGCAGGGGTTGAGAGAGGTCATAGGTCAAAGGTGAAGGTCTAGGGTGGTACTCAGCTGGGAGGTAGGGTGGCTCAGTGGGGTGAGAAGTCAGGAAGTTGGGAACCACAGCCTTGACAGTGGGTTAAGGGATGACAACAGGGTTATAGGTCAGGGGTCAGTCAGAGCCATGTCCAAGGAGGGGGCATAGTGAGGTGAAGTCAGGGGTGAGAGGTCAGAGGTCAGCTGAAATGATAACCAACTGGGCAGGTAGACTCAATGGGGGCTTAGGGGTCTGAGGTCACACACAAGGTGTGGGATGTGGTTCACCAAGGTCAGAGGTCAGCCTTCAGAGCCACCAGGTTGTGGGGAGGCTCTGAGCGGTGAGAGGCTGAGGTTGGGGGTCAGGAGTGGGGGTGCAGCTCAGTGAGGCATGCATCTGAGGTCAGCCGACAGGTGGCAGGAGAGGCTGGGTGTGGAGACAGGCACAGAGAGGCAGGACAGGTCCGTGGGTCTATGAGAGGGTGGGCTGAGTGTCTGGGGTGAAGTGGCACTGTGGCCGGGCCGGGGCCTACCAAGCTGCGGGGAGGAGGGCTCGGTGGCGGCAGAACTCTCACTCAGGGCCGAGTTGCTCTGCTCCAGCGGCCGCTTGCGCCCGGCGTTGTCTGGGCCACCCGTGCTAGGCTGGTGCCGCTTCTTATTCTTCACCAGGATTCGGCCCATCAGGTCCTGGGGGCTGGGCAAGGGGACGCCTGGGGCCAGCTGGGCAGGCATGGATGGGTCAGGGCCTTGGACTGGGTCTGCAGCCCCCACCCTGGCCACCGTGTCCCCACCCTGGCTCCAAGCCCCCACCCTGGCCCCTGTGCACCCACCCTGGCCCAAGCCCCCACCCTGGCTCTGAGCCCCCACCCTGGCCCCCGTGCACCCACCCTGGCCCCCACGCCCCCACCCTGGCTCCGAGCCTCCGTACCGGGTACTTGTCCAGAGGGTCGATAAGCAGTGCATCTCCAAAAATGGAGCGGCAGTACTCGGCCATCTTTGCCTGCTGCTTTGCCCTACGAGCCAAGGTCAGAGTTCAGAGGTCCCCAGGGGAAGCTGGGATCTACGGGACATGTCAGTGGTGGTTCACAGGGTTGGAGGTCCTGGAGCAGTCCAACAGCACTGAGGTGGGAGGGCTGTCCCCAGGGTCACAGGGTCCTGGGGTCCCAGCCAGGGGCTCACTCACGAGTCCACGTGGTTCTCAAAGGAGAGGATGACAGGGTAGGGCGAGGTCTTGAAGGCGGTCTCAGCAATGGCCTCCAGCACGTCTCGCAGAGGCACCTCCGTGGTCATGGTGAAGCCATGGGTGATGAAGGGCTCCTCCTCGGGCGGCCGCCCCTTCCACACGTCCAGCTCCACACAGCGGCAGCCCCAGAGCAGGGCCTGGCGGTACATCTCCACTGACGACGTCCCAGCCAGCTGCCCCGCTGCAGGGGAGGCTCCATCACCAAGGCTGCCCACCAGCCCAGCTCCTCACCACCCCGGCCCCACCCAAAACAGGCCATGTTGGGTTCGCAGGAGGCTCTCCTTCTCTCAGATGCATGCCCACCTGCCCATCCCACCAGTGCAAGCTCTGGGAGTCATCCTGAGTCTCACTATAGCTCCCCACTGCCCCAGCAACTGCTCCCTCTCCTCACTCCCTCCACCCACGTCGGTCCTGGCACAGCTCACACCACCTCCTGTGTGGAATACTCCAGGCCTCCCTGCCTCCAGTCCAGTCTCTTTTATTTTTATTTATTTATTTTTTTGAGACAGAGTTTTGCTCTTGTTGCCCAGGCTGGAGTACAATGGCGTGATCTTGGCTGACTGCAATCTCCGCTTCCCAGGTTCAAAGGATTCTCCTGCGTCAGCCTCCTGAGTAGCTGGGATTATAGGCATGCATCACCACACCCAGCTAATTTTGTATTTTTAGCGGAGATGGGGTTTTTCCATGTTGGTCACACTGGTCTCAAACTCCCGACCTCAGGTGATTCACCTGCCTCAGCCTCCCAAAGTGCTGGGATTACAGGCGAGAGCCACTGCGCCCGGACTCTTTCTTTTTTTATTTCTTTTGAGACAGTGTCTTGCTGTCTCCCAGGCTTGAATACACTGGCACAATCTCGGCTCACTGCAACCTCCATCTCATGGGTTCAAGAGATTCTCCTGCCTCAGCCTCCTGGGTAGCTAGGATTACAGGCACCACCCACCCACCACCACACCTGGGTAATTTTTGTATTTTCTTTTTTTTTTTTTTTTTGAGACGGAGTTTCTCTGTTGTTTCTCAAACTCCCGACCTCAGGTGATTCACCTGCCTCAGCCTCCCACAGTGCTGGGATTACAAGCGAGAGCCCCTGTGCCCAGCCTCTTTCTTTTTTTATTTCTTTTGAGACAGTGTCTTGCTGTCTCCCAGACTGGAGTACAATGGCGTGATCTCGGCTCACCACAACCTCCGCCTTCTGGGTTCAAGCAATTCTCCTGCCTCAGCCTCCCGAGTAGCTGGGACTACAGGCACGCACCACCATGCCCAGCTCATTTTTGTATTTTTTTTAGTAGAGACGGGGTTTCACCTTGTTGATCAGGATGGTCTCCATCTCTTGACCTCGTGATCCACCCGCCTTGGCCTCCCAAAGTGCTGGGATTACAGATGTGAGCCACCACACCCGGCAAATTTTTGTATTTTCAATAGAGATGGGGTTTCACCATGTTGGCCAGGCTGGTCTCGAACTCCTGACCTCAGGTGATCCGCCCACCACAGCGTCTCAAAGTGCTGGAATTACAGGCGTGAGCCACTGCACCCAGCCTCAATCCAATCTCTATAGAGCACCTGGCATCATCTTTCTAAAAATATATCATGGGGTCATGTCACCTCTTCTGCTTCACCCTCCAAAAAGCCGCTCCCTCCACTCAGGGTGAATACAAGTGCCTCCGGGCCCTGGGTCTTGCCCTGCCTTGTTCTCCCTCTCACACCAGGAACCTATCCCCAGCCCACTCTGCATCCTGACTCCCCAGCTTCCTTTCTGCTTTTTTTTTTTTTTTTTTTTTTTTTTTTTTAATAAAGATGGGGTTTCACCATGATGGCCAGGCTGGTCTTGAACTCCTGACCTCATGTGACCCACCCACCTCAGCCTCCCAAAGTGCTAGGATTACAGGCGTGAGCCACTTCACCCAGCTCTGCTTTTATTTTTTTCACTTTTTTTGGGGGGAAAGGGTCTCACTCTGTCACCCAGGCTGGAGTGCAGTGGCACAATCATAGCTCACTGCTGCCTCAACCTTCCCAGAACCAAGGGACACTCCCACCTCAGCCTCTCAAGCAGCTGGAACCACAGGCATGCACCACCACACCCAGCTAATTTTTAAAAAATTATTTGTAGAGATGGGGTCATACTGTGTTGCCCAGGCTGGTCTCAAAACCCGGGCTCAAGGGATCTGCCTGCCTTATGCTCCCAAAGTTCTGGATTACAGGCATGAGCCACTACACCCATCCCCATTCCAGCCTCTTGAAAGCACCTTGCCGGCTAGGCATGGCAAGAGCTCACGCCTGTAATCCCAGCATTTTGGGAGGCCAAGGCAGGTGGATCACCTGAGGTTCGAGACCAGCCTGACCCACATGGAGAAACCCCATCTCTACTAAAAATACAAAATTAGCCAGGCGTGGTGGCACATGCCTATAATCCCAGCTACTCGGGAGGCTGAGGCAGGAGAACCACTGGAACCCGGGAGGCGGAGGTTGCGGTAAGCTGAGATCGCACTATTGCACTCCCGCTGGGGCAACAAGAGCGAAACTCGTTCTCAAAACAAGAAAAAAAAAAACCCTCAGTCTCCTGCTCCAGGCCTTAACACAGGCCGTTCCAGGCCTCAGCCTTTCCCTGGGGAAGCCACCATGAGGCATGCTGCCGCAGAGAGGCCCCACTGCCCAGGGCCGGCTACCTGTTCCCTGCCTGCATCCCCAGCACCGGCCAATTAACAAGCAAATGAGATGAAAGAACGGTGCCTCAGGAGTGGGCCATGCCACGAGCGGAGGTCACGGGCACCAGCCCGCCCTGCTCACCAGTGAGATAGGTGTTATGCGAGGAGTTGATGAAGTAGGCACTCAGCGGCTGGGTCATGTCTGCGCTCAGATCCAGGGCTTCCAGGGGCAGGATGCCGTTCTCCTCACCTCCCAGATAGCGGCTAAAGCCCTCCATGGACATCTGGTCTGGGGTCGGAGGGGGTCAGCAGGGTCAGCTGGGCCCCGCCTGCCCCGCCCACCTGCACCCTGGCCAGCTCACCTCGCTCCAGAAACTGCTTGTTGGGCTCATACTTCTCAATGAGCAGCCGGGCTTGGGAGGGCCGCAGGGGTGGGTACAGCACTTCGTTGAGTCTCGGGTCGCGTTGCTTCTGGTTGATGAAGTCCATGAGCTGCTCCAGCGTCAGGTACGGCTTGCCCTTGGCACCTCTGGAGGGGGCAGGAAGCCAGGTCAGGCTGGAGCCTCACCAGGCTCCCATCCGCTCGACAAGCCCGGGCCCTGGGCAAGGGAGTCAGAAGGCTTGCCCCTGGATCTGGCACCCAGTGAGTGGGACTCTGGGTGAGTCACAGCCCGCTCTGGGCCACAGTTTCTCCCTTCACTCTTCTGACTACTCAGCATTGGCAAGGCAGCAGACCAGTGGGCACTGGCAATGGCCAGAGCTTGGGAGCTGCCCAGTGCTCGGCCCACCACCCCTCGCTTCCAGATCTCACAGGACGCCTGAGCCTTGCTTCCCATCGCAGAGTGGGCTGATTAAACACCTCTGCCACGTGATCAGCCCAGAGCACCTGTAACTAACTGAGGGACACAAACGGTGGCTTTGAGCAGGGACACACCGACAGGTCCTCCCCGGGCCCACCCCGGCGCTCCAGGACCCAGCCCACCAGCTCCCCTTCTCCCCACTGAGCTAGAGGCGCGCTAAGCAGAAGCCACAGACGAGCATGGGAGCTGGGAGGCAGGCCCTGCTCACATCTCCAGCAGGATCTTGTCAATGTCCGGCCGCAGACACAGCTTGTTCAGGAACCGCTCAAAGATTTCCAAGGAAAACTCATCGGGCCGGATGGACTCACTCTGGGGGCCAAGGAGTGTGGGGTGAGAACCCAGGGGCAGCCAGCCCTGGAAGGGTGGGTACCCACCATGACACCCCACCTGCCCCTACCCCTATTTCACACACCCGGTTGAAGTTGAGGCCACAGGATTCCAGCGCAGTCTCCACTCGCTTCTTGTCAGCTGAGAACATCTTCAGGATGCTGATGCGGGCAGCAGGGGTACAGGGTCGGCGGTGGGGGCGGTGCAGGGTCAGTGAGGGGCAAGGGTCACCAAGGTCAGGGCAGGAGGAAGGTGTTTGGGGAAGGGGTGCTCACTTCTTGACGGGGATCCGACCATCCTGGTTCACCTGCAGCTTCAGCTTCGTGTATCTGGGGAGGTAGGTAAAGGGGTCACACCCTGAAAACAGCCACGTGAACCCCCCAGATCCCCTTCGGGTGGCCTGGGGCTCACGCTTTGCGCAGGAAGGTGTTCCGGGAGGCGTTCTGAGCCAGGATGTTCATCGCCAGCTTGAACAGCTCCTCGGACCAGACCTGGGGGCCAGTATACGCAGGGAGGCAGTGAGTGGGGTGCAGAGGGGCTGCCCAGCCACAGCCCAGGCCCGCAACTGGCTCTGGGACACAGTAGGTCACAGAGCAGCCTAGAAACAGCAGGTGTCAGTAAGTGACAGCCGCCTCAGAGAGTAAGGCAGTGACTCCTCCCTCAACCCCTCGGTGCCGGCCCACCTTGGCTGTGTCGTCCTGCACGGCCATGAAGTTCAAGAACACTGTGTTTACGGGGTCTGGCCCAGACACCACCGTCATCAGCTTCTCCTCCAGCCGGGCATCGGGACCCCCAAAGCCCAGAACTTCCCGGATCTTGGGGTCCTGAGTCGGTGAGAGCCAAGGGTGAGGAGGGGTTCCCGGGCCTCACAACCTCACTGTGGTCTTCAGTCCTGGGCTCCATCACTCACCTTGGGCAGGCGGGCGTACCGGCCCGTCCGTGTGTCCCTGATGGAACTGATGTCCAGTGTGTCTACCTCCTGGGGGGAACCAGATGCCAGGCTGGGTATGAGAAGCTGTAGGTCCACAGCCAGGAGCCTCCAAGCTCCCCACCCAGGCCAGGGTGGGGCCAGCCCCTGGCCACAGCCCCAGCCTTAGCTCCTGGCCTGAGCACTTCCTGTCTGGGCAGCCGTGGGAGAGGTCAGCCTGCAGCTGGGCTCCACCCCCACGGGCAGGGCAGGAGTCTGGGACAGGGGCCCTTGGCCTGAGCCAGCTGCAGCAGCACCCATTCTCACCATGTTGGGGCCCGTCCAGTACAAGAAGAAGCCATTGGGGTCCACACGCAGGGTGACCAGGTTCCGACTGGAGGTCTCCTGGGGACAGCACCGGGCAGCAGGAATCAGGGAGTGAGGGCTGCGGTGCCGGCTTGGCCCCTGTACCCCCCTATCATGCACCCCAGAGTTCCTGCCTGTGAGCTGAGGCCAAACCTCATCCAGCCACAGGTCCTGCGTGGCTGACTGTGGCCTCAGAACAAAGCCAAGGTCCAGTATCACACCAACCCCAACGCCTCTTCCCAGCCTCACCTCTCTCTGGCCCTGGGATTCTACCTGCCCTTTCCCAGGGCTTTGTCTCATGTTCCCTTCGCCAGGACACCCTTCCTTTTCCACCCATGAAATCTGACCCACCCCCAGAAGGGCTCTCCAGCCCCCATGCTGGGCTCAGTTTCCCCAGAAGTGCTAAGAGCTCTGTGAACAGCCGCCCTAGTTCACCGCCCCCTAGTTCACAGAATGTTTATGGCATGAAAATGAGGAGTCTGACCCTACTGCCCTTCTGTGTCCCTTGGGACCCCACAATGACCCCTTGGTCTGCCTCAAATCCCATTATCCACCTTACCACACTTTCCAGGGTCCCCACAGCCTCAACGCTCCTCCCCATCTTATAGAAGCACAGTCCCCCAAGAGGGGACTCGCCCTGCTCTCAGGACCAGGCAATGAGTGAGCTCTTCTTCCCTCAAACAGCCCTGCAGCTGGCAGGGGCCAGGGAAGTACATGCCAGCCCCATTTTCTGAGAAGAGCCCAGTCCCTGGCATACTCCCAGGGCCAACCCGTGTGACTCAGGACCAGCAGCCAGAGGGGATGTCCTCCAGGGTTTAGACTCAGCCAGGGCCAGTGTGGCCAAGTGGCCACAGGTAGGACCCTCCCATCCCAGGCTCTTCCAGCCAGGAAAGGACCCTGCCTCATGTTGGGTGCCACCCCCAAACTGCTGCTCGGTGTCTGATGGGCAATACTGTTATTATCAGTACAAAGTCTCACATACACACACTGCCCCTACTGTGCGCCAAGGACAGTCCAATGCACCTAATGTCTCTGCGCACTCACAGGCCTCCTAACGAGCCTAAGAGGGGTGTGCTCTTGTCACTCCCATTTAACAGATGGGGAGACTGAGTTACAGGGATGCTTTGTAGCCTGCCCGAGGTCATCGGAGCCAGGACTTGCTTGCAGGCAGTATGGTTCCAGCGCCCTGTGACCCAGGAAGCAGAGAGCCAAGACTTCTGCCAGGCTCCCAGCTCCTGGCCTCAGCCACACCCCATTGTGGGGCCTGGGCTAAGTCTCTGCTTTCCAGACCTCAGTTTCCTCTTCTGGGGAATGGGGATTGCACCAGACCCACCCATGGTAGGCTTTGCTTACAAATGATGGGCATCGACCTGGGAACAGAAGGGACAGGAGGCTCTAAAACACACGGACCTCCCCACCTCATTGTGCTGACACCCAGCCCCATTCCCTCTCAGGGTTCCCGACCCTACTCTGGGGCTGAGGTCCCCAAATGGTATGAGGAGGGGGAGTCTGTGGGTACTGCCCCTAGGGTTTCCCCCTGTCTCTCCCCAGGGGTCTGCCCTTAAAGGCAGCCCAGGCCCCCTCCTCTCCTACTCCAAGCCTCTTTCAGCAGCCCCCACCCCACCCCCAGGGCCCTCTCCCTGTTCCCACTTCCTTATTTGGGTTTATCACAGTGGAAGGAAAAGAAGAAACTTTTCCCTTCAGGCCAGCCTGGGGGGAGGGGTCTCCCCCAGACCCTGGGGCACCCAGGCACCCCTCCTAGCACACCTGCCGCTTCAGGCCACGCCCCCATCTCCTCCCCCCAGCTCCCACGCCTACCCTGGGGCCCCACCCAGCCGGAAAAGAGCCCAGAGTCTTCCAGGCCCATAGCCTGACTGGGAAGGAGCCCTGAGGAAGCTCAGGCCGGCGGGGTGGAGGCCCTGGGGAAGGACGGACTCAGGGGACAGAGGGGGGGATCCAGGATGGGGATGGGCAGCCAAAAGTGGGGACCCGAGCATTTGGGAAGCACCAGTGGCAGGACAGAGAAAGGGGGGCCAGGATGTATTGGGGTTCAAGGTCCCAAGCCTAAGGAGTGGGGAGCAAAGTTCCCAGGGTGGAGGAACTTGGGGGGCAAAGTCTCCACTAGGGGGTGACTGGGTGCTTCCACCTGGGCAGGGAGCTGGGCTAGGATCCAGAAGCAGGGCAAAGGGGTGCCAACAAGAACAGGGGGAAAAGTGATGAATGGGCGAGGACTGTTCAGGCAGGACACCAGGAAGAGTAGGGGCGCCCTAGCACACACCCGGAGTGAGGATGCCCAGAGCCAGCCTGAGGATCAGGGTCCTGCAGCCAGGGGTCCAGTGCTGGGCAAGGGTCTGGGGCCAGGCCAGGATCGGGGCACCAGAATTAGTCTGGCAGGGAGTGGTGGGAAGGGCGATTGAATACGGACGAGGTTTATTGGGGTTCGAAGTCTCTGTGCCAAGGAGTGGAGCCAAATTTTCCAGGGCTGATGGACTGGGGGTTGGGGGAACAAAGTCTTCATTACGGGGACGATCGGGGACTTAAGTTTCCAGAGGGCCGCCAGGCTGGAATGGGGGTGGCGCCATGGGCAGGCGAGGCTGGGGTGGGGGGTCCCCGGCGTCTGGTCGAGCTTGACTGAAGGAGTCCCGGGATCTGGGCGGGGCAGGGGCCCGCGCGCTTACCTCGTCCCATTTGATGAACTTACTCCCGCGCCGCAGGGTCTCCACCACGGTGGGCGGCTCCAGCTGCAGCGCGTGGACGCCGGGCTGGGCGCCCGCCATGGCCAAACCAGGGGCGGGTCGGGGACTCCCGGAGCCCTGACGGGGACCGACGGCGCCGCTAGTCCCACCGCACGGGCCGCTCCCGCCCCGCGGCGTCAGTGCCCGCCCGCCCGCCAGTCTGTCCCGGACCGACCAGAGCCTCGGCGGGGCCCGGGCGGGGCGGGGACGGGGCGGGGCCTCCCTGGTCCCGCCCCCTCCCACTGCGTCGGACCCGCCCGCCCCGCGTCGGCTCCCCCTGGCGGCCGGGGCGGCGACTGCAGCCGGAGCGGGGATTGGGGAAGGGGCACGCGGACGGGTTAGGGACTTTGCTGCGGGACTTAGCAGGACCTGATCCTTCGGGCCTGGGGTGGAAGGAAGGGGCTGGGGGCCAGAGTGGCTGTTGGGGAGCAACTGGAGGGACTGGGTGTAGAGGGCGCTGCTTAAGCGGCCCGGAATCAGCCCACTTGAGGTTCTGAGCGACGGGGCTGCGGTGCCAGTGGAAAGCTGGACTTGGGCCGGGGGTCGCCGCAGAGCCTTGCCGCCCACCCGCTTCTGCTGCACTTAGCTGAAAGCAGGAAAAGCTTCTCCCGCCCCTCTCTGCCCTGGCCTCGCCTCACCCACTCTTCTGCTGCGCGGTCCCCCTCCCTGGGAGCACTTATCCGACTAATGGGCCTCCCGCAGGCAGGCGCCCCTCCCCCGTCCCTAGCCCTGGGAGGCCGGGCGCCTGCCACCTCCTCTGAGAACCCAAGCATCCTGGTCTTTGAGAATGGGCCCTAGAACAGCCCCCTTCTTGTTGCCGCAGACCCCATGACTGGAGCCTGACTGTGGGCTGTGAGAACTACGCGGGGAACGCTGTTGTCTGCCCAGAGGGGTCAGAAGCTTTGTGGGTGTCCCCAAACAGGAGGGTTGAGGAGGGGCTCTGCAGTGCCTGGCCCACAGCAGGTGCCCTGAAATCTGCGTTCCAAGGATGGGAGCGGGGAAGGCGCATGACCAATGGGATGGGTGGGTGCTGCAGCCCCTCCCGCAGGGCTTGGCTGGGTGGGGGGGGGTTCCTGCCTGGGGGCCCCTGTGGGAGCCCCCCCAATACAGAGGCAGTAACAGCAGCATGTTTAAAGTAGAACTCATCCAGAGGGGCCAGCCAAGTCACCTAGAAACCCAGAAAGAGATGTAGCTGGCTCTGGGGGGGGAGGGGTCAGCAGAGAAGGAGCTGCCTTGCAGGCCCCTTTGCCCCAGGCATTGAGACCCCCCGCGAGGAGCCCTGCCTGGCCCTGGCCTTCCTCCACACCCCACCTAGTTCTCCATCAACTCTAACCTAGTGAATCTCCTTGCTTTCAGCTCTAGCCCTGTGAGGTGTGATTATGATCTCCACTTGAGGCCTAGAGAGGGCAAGGGACTTGCCCAAGGTCACACAGCTTCTGAGGAGAGTTTCAACCCTCCAACTTCCTGAAGCCCAGGAGCCTCTAGACCTCCTTGGGAAAACAGAGCCATGCAAGAGATTGGCCCCTGCCTCATAGGCTGGAGTTCAAGGTCGGCTCTTGCTAGTGGCCAAAGCTACTCTTTCTAGGTTCCTCAGTCACCTTGTCTGGAAGCTGAAGGTTACTGGATATTTAAGCAAATGGGTGGGGAGATGCCAATTTGACATGAGTGGCTGGAAGCTGTGGGGACACCAGGGAGGAAGGAGGAAAGGGCACAGGTCAGCTCTGGGGCAGGGGAACCTCCGGCCTGTGCTGGGGCTAGCAGAGTCTGGAGCCAGAGCCTGTGCTCAGGGGGTCAAGCTGTCGGCCCTAGGCCTTGGGCAAGGATACTTCAAAGAAGCATAGGACAGCAGCTCCTTGGGGAAGAAAACAGGATGGGCACCTATTTCCTGGGCTGGAGCCTCTTCTCCTTCCCCCACCCTGTGTCTCCTGAGGCCAGGGCAGCCCCCATTAGAGGGCTCCTTCCTTCCCAGACACTTTTTTCCAGCCTTGTTAATGGTAATAGGGTTTCTCAGCAAGCAGTAATGGTGAAGGCAGGCAGCCTTTCTGGACTCTACCCTCGATTAAAGGAGAGTCTTGACCTACAGGACCCTCCCCAGAGCCGCTGCTTCAAGGATGCACTCTAATGGAGGGGAGCGGGGGCCCTGGGAGGGGTAGGGCTGGGGAGGCCACAGCCTGAGGCTGGAAGGAGGAGCAGGGTACATTCCAGTCCCAGTAGGGCTCAGGCAGGAGGGCCACGGCTGGGCACAGACCCCTAACCACAGGAAGTCAGGACCATCAGCCCCCTGAAGAGGCCCGGGGCAGGTAAGTGACTTGCAAACAACCTCTCAGCCTATGGTGTAGAGCCAGGATTTGAACACAGTTCTTCTTGGAGTAGGAGTTTCTACTCAAAGGCTAAGGTTCTGTGCAGGATGGTCCAGCTTCCAGGAAGGTGGCAGGCCAGCACACACCAAGTGGTCCTGGGTGGATGGCCATGGGAACTGGACAGGAATCTGGGTGTGCCTGGTAGTGGCACAGAATGGAGAATGAGGGAGAGTCAGGAAGAACACCCTGCCCAGAGAACCCTCAGAGGGGTGCCCTGACCTGTGAACATGGCTGGAAACCTTCACACCAACCCTCAGGGGTGGACAGACAGAAAGGCCAGCTCTCAGGGTGGAAGCATCTTGGGGGCAGAGCTAGAGCTGGAGGTCTTCATGGCCTGCAGGCCCCACTTCCACAGAAGCTGTTGGGCATGAGGGACTATTTGAGGATCTTCCCCCTTCAATCTGTTTACACCCTCAAGTAGCAAATCAATGCTTGGTGTGGTGGGGAATTTGGACTGGAAGAAAGTGATCCTCCTATCAGGCCAGGCTTCGGGCAGGAGGCCAGGCCACAAATGGGGCTGCCAGTGGAGAGGGTAATCGCTGCCTAATCCGAAAGAGCAAGGGTCAGACCTTCCTCAGCGCCCAGCCTGGCTGCAAGGAGGCTGAGGCCAGAGGAAGGGCACGGGGAGGTGGTCAGCTCACTCTACCCTTCCCTGAACGGAGCCCTGGAGCTTATCGCCCTCACAATGCCCAGCCGCTGTCTTCTGTTTGTCTCCTCTGTGACTATAGGGCAAAGGAGGAGCCCGATATCCTGGGTTGGAGTTTGGATGCAACCCCAGTGCCAGTCCCAATCCAGCTCTGAACCTCACTGGCTGCAGCTAGCTTCCCCCACAACATCCAAAGAGGGTCTGTGAGGGGCTGGGGGCAGAATATTGCCACTCAGATCCAAGACCCTGTTTGGGATGGCTCAAGGTGAGCCTGCGGTCCACAGAAATGCCCTGGAGCTTTGCAGCCTTATTGGGTGGTGTCTACAGGGAGGCGAGGAGGTGGAGGAGAGACTTGTGTCAGGGGGTTTGAGTCACATAGCCTGGGTTTAAAGCCTCAGCTCTCGTTTCATCTATCAGTGCGACTTAATTCACCTCCGTGGTGTAGTAATAGAACTTTCCACGAATTTTCCTATTTAATCTTTGTTACAACCTTCTGAGGAAATGCAGGCACAGAGGAAGCCGTTCATTCTTTCCAAATTATTTGTTCAACCAGTGCGGCGACCTGCTATGAGTCTGACATAGTTCTAGGTGCTGGGGTTCGGCAGGGACCAGGTAATTTGCCTAATAGCAGTGGATTTGAAGACCACTCCAGCCTGGTAGCACCAGCAGACCAGGTCCGCGCAGGGCTCAGCCCCAAGGAACTCACAGTCTAGAAGTGGGAGACAGACAATAAACGAATGAATGAGACCATTTAAAGATGCAGAAAATCACATAGGGGGAGGGAATGAGATGCGCCGTCAGCCTATTGGAGGTGGGCCAGGGCTGTGTGGAGGACCCAGGAGCCGCAGGGCGGGGGTGTGGGAGCCCCGGCGCGGCGCCCTCCTGGCGGAGCCGTCTGGGCTGCTGTCCCGACGCAGGCTCCTAGGGGAAGCCGCGATGATCCCCTTCATCATTGAGTCCCGGCCCCCTCACTGCCCAGCTCTTTGCGCCCTGGCGTCTCACTCTGTGCGCACATGGGTCGGGGGCGCAGAGGACGCCCCAAACAACTTCGCGCTTCCCGGCCCGGCCGCGCTGCGGGGGAGGGGCGGTGCCGGGCGTGGACTCCGTTTCCCACAAGCCCGCGCCCCGCGCCATCTTGCCGGTGGGCGGTGGCTGCCGCGGTTGGCCGTTCCGGCTGGCCGGCCGCCTCCGCTCATCCCCCTCCACGCCAACCCCGGCTTCCTTCGTTGGGGGCGTGGGACCCTGCTAGTCAGGGCGTCTGGGGACCCGGACAGCTCCCGCCCGTCTTCTCCACTCCATCCCCGGGAGCCCGGTCCACGTGTCGGTCGGTGCTCAGGAGGGGGTTCGCCCCTCGCTGGCCGAGGGCTACAGGACCCGGACATCGGGGACCGCAGCGTCTCCTCACCAGACTGCGAGTCTGCACACGCTGTCCACTCCCCTGCATTCTCAGAGGGCCCCTATTCTCAGGTCGCCTCAATGAAGACAGAATAAGGAAGGGTCCAGGGAGGACTAGGATCCTGGCGGGAGCGCAAAGCGTCGTCCTGAGCACTTAGAACGCCTGGGTTTGGGACTGGACGGCGGCATTTAGGGGGTACGGACAGCTAGGCCACCCTCTGTGGAAGAGACCCTCCCCTACCCCTGCCCGGGGGCGGAGTAAGGGACAGGGGCCCGTAGAGGGGCTGGCCCTTTAAGGGGGTGTGGTCGGGGGGCGGAGTAAGAGCGAGACAGAGAAAGCGCTTCGGCGGCGGCAGCTCGGGCGGCGGCCGCGGGGGACAAAGGGCGGGCGGATCGGCGGGGAGGGGGGGGGGGCGCGGCCAGGCCAGGCCCGGGGGCTCCGCATGCTGCAGCTGCCCCCGGGCGCCCCCGCCGCCGCTCTCGCCGCGGAGCCGCGCGGAGCGGAGCGGGCGAGCTAACCCGAGCCAGCCGGCGGGCGTCCCGGAGGCGGCGGCGCAGGGAGGGGCCCGACGCGCGCACGTGGCCCCGGCGGCCGCCATGGCGGACAGCGGCACCGCGGGGGGCGCGGCGTTGGCGGCCCCAGCGCCCGGACCCGGCAGTGGCGGCCCAGGACCACGCGTCTACTTTCAGAGCCCCCCCGGGGCCGCAGGAGAAGGCCCGGGCGGTGCGGACGATGAGGGCCCAGTGAGGCGCCAAGGGAAGGTCACCGTCAAGTATGACCGCAAGGAGCTACGGAAGCGCCTCAACCTAGAGGAGTGGATCCTGGAGCAGCTCACGCGCCTCTACGACTGCCAGGTGTGTTCCCACCCCGCGCCGACACCCTAAAATCGATCTCCAGCCGGTCCGCCTGGGAGCCCCGCTGTGAGCTCGCCTGTCACCGGAGTCAAAGGGCACTCTGCTTCCACGCGCGCTCCCCTCCTCTCTGTACTCCCCGCCCCGAATATATGCTCTTTCTTGTCTGACTTAAGTCACTTCTGTTTTTCCGCTGCCTCAGACCCTGCGCCCCTCATGCCACTCCCCAGGTCAAGTTTGGTGCCCTCCAGAAGCCTCAAGGCGTGGCCTGGGCCTTGGGCAAGAGGCAGGGGGGCAAGTCTGGGCTGGCAGTGGCAGGAGGTCTCATCCCCTAGTGCCCGCTGGCTTAGACTGTGGTTACAAGGAGCTAGTCTGATAGGTGGCTGGGGCTGGGCTGTTCTATGGGCTATCCTGGAACTCCATCTTGGCGTGCGTGCAGGCTAGCCCGTTTTCTGGGCTCTGCTTCTCCACCCCCATGACTCCCTGGTTGTTCAGATGGTGACTCAGGCCCCGGGGGGCAGGGTGGAGGAGTGGGCTTGCCCAGTTCTGCCTGCCTACCGTAGCCCAGCCCTGGAATGCAGCGGACTCCAAACAGGATAGGGGCTTCCTGGGGAGGGTGGGGCAGGGTGGTGGGCACCCCCTCCCTCACCAAAGCATGGGTTCTTTGTTTTTTCTTTGCCAGGCCCGGGTCCTTCCCAGTGACCCCTCAGCCTTCACTTCCTCCTCATTCCCGGGGAGCTGTGACAGGTGTTTGGGGGAGGGGAGGGGGCTATGATGAGCTGGGACAGCTGCACCCACCGGTGCCCTGGTGAGATGGGGGGCCCGGATGCTGAGGAGACACATCTGCTGGGTTCCCAGCCCAAGTTCTGCAGCCCTGGCTAGCTGGCCTTGTCTGGCACCCCTGGTGCCCACTGGCAGGGACAGGAAACCCCCCCCACCCCCCTTTGGGCAATTTGCCTTGGCACGGGCCTGATCTGTTTTCCTCCTCTGAGCAGCTGCCGTTGTGTCTGATGGGCACAGGGCCGGGTTCCTCCGAGGTAGGCAGGGGCCTCAACCCAGAGCCCCTTTACACCCTCTAACTCAGGCTCTTGTCTCTTCCCCCTCCCCCACCCCCACCCCAGGAAGAGGAGATCCCAGAACTGGAGATTGACGTGGATGAACTCCTGGACATGGAGAGTGATGATGCCCGGGCTGCCAGGGTCAAGGTGAGGGAGCTGGGGGGGGGGGGTGGCGGGCAGAGGCCTGCCTGAGGCACTACTGTGCAGCCAGGCCCTGGAGTCTCAGCTCCTGCCTCAGCAGAAGGGGGCCAGTGCCTAGCTGTGAGGTGGCCATGGCATCTCCTGTGCCTCAGGGTGGCCCCAGTCCCTTGGAAGTGGGTATAGCCCAAGCTCCAGGCGCCTGCCCCTGAGGACTCATTTATCCCTCCTCCCCTCACCCTGCTAGGAGCTGCTGGTTGACTGTTACAAACCCACAGAGGTAAGAGCTTTCCCCAGGGGCAGGGTGAGTGGAGCCTGGCTCCTGACATTCTGGGGTCTGGTCTCCCTAACGTTTACCCTCCCACCCAGGCCTTCATCTCTGGCCTGCTGGACAAGATCCGGGGCATGCAGAAGCTGAGCACACCTCAGAAGAAATAAGGGTCTCCGACCCAGGCGAACGGTGGCTCCCACAGGACAATCGCTGCCCCCAACCTCATAGCAACAGCAATACCAGGGGACCCTGTGGCCAGGCCTGGTGCCATGAGCAGGGCTCCTCGTGCCCCTGGCCCAGGGGTCTCTTCCCCTGCCCCCCTCAGTTTTCCACTTGGGGTTTTTTATTGTTATTAAACTGATGGGACTTTTTGTGTTTTTATATTGACTGCGGCGCGGGCCCTTTAATAAAGCTAGGATACGCCTTTGGTGCAGCTAACAGACTCCACTGATCTCTTTTAGGGGGGCACCCCGCTCTGTGACTTCTGCCAGCTCAGCTTCTCCCCAGGTGACCGCAGGCCTTCCTGAGGGCCACGTAGTCATGGCGATAGCCCAGTGCTGGCTCCCAGACCAGGAGCAGGAAGTGGCTAGGGAGCTGTGGGGGGGGGCAGTGAGCAGTATTGCTGCTGGCAGGCAGGAACACTCCTGTTTCTCTGGGCGAGGGCCACCATGCCATTGAGCCTAGACCCCCAAGGCTATGCAGTCAGGAAAGGAGAAGGTAGGGGACGCTGGAGCTGAGGTCTCTGAGTCTCTCAGCGCCCACAAACACACACAGTCACTCCATGGGCCTCTAAGGTTTTTGTTTTTTGTTTTGTTTTTTTAGAATAATCTGGTCCCTGGATGGGGGCCTCTCCCCCCGCCCCTCCCCAGTTTCCCAGTCTGGCTACAGCTCTGATCGTCGCTCGATTTTGAGCAGCTCCACCTCGAACACCAGGGTTGCACCACCTGTGGGGGAGAAGTGGGGTCAAAATGCCAACCAGAGCTACAGGGAGGTGGGCTGGCTGCAGGTGATGGGGGGGTCAACAGGTTGACTACCTGGAATCTTTGGGGGAGCTCCCCGATCTCCATACCCTGTTGAAGATGCAGAAAGAAACAGTCAGCGATGGCCAAGCTCCCTTTCAGCCTGGGCAAAGGGAGGGTGTTCTGCCCCTCAGCAAGAAGGGCAGAAATGGAGAAGGTATAATGGAGATGGGAAGGGGGTGCCAAAGGCCTGGCAAGGGCAGAGCGGGGCCACTACAGCTGAGTGCTCAAGGATCTTGTCCTGTCCTCACTGCTAGACACAGCCAAACTTGGAGGAGGCATGTATTATAGACACGGTGAAGACCAATGAGAGGCGGAAGCAGCTTTCACCCTTCCCGGTCACACGCCCCAAACCCTCTGCACGCTCAGAGGGCCCCTTACCCAGCTCGGGTGGGATCACCAGCTTGCGCTTTTCCCCCTCACACATCCTGCAGGAAGACACATGCTCAGCCCACGGCAACACCCAGGGCCCCTGTCCTGTGTCCCTGGGGCTTGCCTCCCACAGCTTACCTCTTGGGTGGTGGCCATGCACGCGCGCCCCCCCCCCCCAGGCTCCCAAGCCCATTCCCCCATGACTCACCCCAGCAGCCCCTGGTCCCAGCCCTTGATGACCTGGCCTGTGCCAAGGGAGAAGACAAAGGGCTGGTTCTGGGGCAGGCTGCTGTCAAACTCCGTCCCATCTTCCAGCTTTCCCTGTGGGACCATGGGAAGGCCATGAGGAGGAGGGGACCACCCCAACACCCCCTCCCTCAGCTGCTCTCCCCATCAAGCTGGCTCCCACAGCACTGGTGATCAGTCCTTTTTGTTTTTTTAGATGGAGTCTCACTCTATTACCATGGTTGGAGTGCAGTTGCGGGATCCTGGCTCACTACAGCCTCCGCCTCCTGAGTTCAAACAATTCTCCCACCTCAGCCTCCCAAGTAGCTGGGATTATAGGATCTTGGCTCACTGCAGCCTCCGCCTCCTGAGTTCAAACAATTCTCCCACCTCAGCCTCCCAAGTAGCTGAATTTTTAGTAGAGACGAAGTTTCAACATGAGGCCAAGCTGGTCTCAAATTCCTGACCTCAGGCGATTCACCCAACTTGGCCTCCCAAAGTGCTGAGATTACAGGTGCGAGCCACCATGTCCGGCTGGGCATAGTCCTTTAAGGAGACAGAGTCTTGGGCAGCTGACAGTACACTGTCACTGCCTGCTGGTGCCCACGTGGGGAGCAGGCATAGGCAAGGCAGAACCATGAAAACCGGCTTAGAGGGGAGAGGGGACTTGTCCAAGGTCACCTACCTGGCTAATGGAGAACCAGACTCCCAAGCACTTGCTGGTCCTCGGAAGCCCCACCCACTCCCAAAAGGCCTGCCCATCCCACTCACCGTATAGTGCATGTGGAGGACATCCCCTTTACGAGATTTGATGGGACAGTGGTCCACCCGTTTCTTGACCCCGATCTGTAGCTTCCTTTTGCCCTCGGCCCCTGTGGCCGTGGCCACGGCGCTCAGGCAGATGGACAGTACTGTCAGGACCTGGACCCAGCTCAGCCTCATGTCTCTGTGGGCACAGACCCCAACAGACAGACTGAACATGGGGCGGAGGACAGGGAGGGCATAGAACACGGGTAGGTACCAGGAGGATCCCACCACCACTGTATCTTGCTTGCCCCGGGGGATCCCCTTTATCCCGGGTCACCGCCCTCTCCCCTGGGCTCCGGGGCCACACTTACCAGTCCAGTGAGAAGGGGGCTTGGCCGAGGACCCCAGCAGCGGAGGGAGGGGATCAGGGGAGGCCACAGCAGCCAGGGCCCCGCCCCTTTGCTCACCCCCATACCTTCCCTCCCTCCCGGTCCCCACCTCCACTCTTCAGTTCCCGCCAGTCCCTTTACGCAAAGTCCAGACCCTATCTGGCTGCACAGCAGTTGCCCCGACTGGGCGGTCCCACTCACGCCACACCCAGCTGCCCTCGGCCCAGCACACCCACACCTCTGCGGCCGTTGCAGGGGGTCGGCCCCGAGGCACCCACACATCCCCGCTGGGTGGCTCCGAGGAGCCCGGGTCCTCGGGAGATACCCCCCAGCTTGGCCCTGTGCCTCCGCCCGGGGCGCCGCCCCAGCTCTGAGCCCTTGGGGGTCTCCGGGGCACCCAGACTGGCCCTGTGTCCGCTGGCCGCCGAGACCGCTCCACCCATACCACCTCTCCCGGAGGAGTTCTCGGCCTACCGCGTCCCCAAGCTCGACCACCACGAAGACCACCCCCGCGTCGACGCCCGGGGCCATTACTCGGGCCGGGCTCCTCACTTGGTTCCTTGGCACCGCCTTTCGGAGGACGCGGTGCCGCCCCCGAGCCTGCAGCCCCGCCTTCGTCAGAACTAGACCCCTTTTCCGGAGCTGTAGCCACGCCACTCACCGGCTGAAGCCCCGCCCCCAGCGCCTGCGCTTCGCTCCCCTCTGCTTCCGACCCCGAGGCTCCGCCTTTTACCTCCTCCAGCTCCTCCTTCAAGAGCCAGGCTCCGTCCCCCGACCCTCCCAGCTCCGTCCCCCGCCGCCGGGCTCCGCCTTCCACTGGCACCAGCTCGGAGGTCCCACCCGTCCCGGTTCCACGTCCCGCCCCAAGCCCCAGGGCTCCGCCCTGTGCGGCGTGAGAACCCTCCCCCTGCGGCATCTCCGGACAGCTCCGGCCAATTTCCACCCCCAATTTCCTCGTCACCTAGTTCTCGTTGACCCTCGGAGCCCGGCTCGCTCCTGCCCGGCCTGATCCAGCCTGCCCTCTTGCACCCCGGGTCCCCCCGGCCCGGGCTGTGGCCCCCGCTCACCTCCTCACCGCGCCCCCGGAGTCAACCCCGCTGGTGGTGCTGCCTCTGCGCAGGCGCGTCCTCGTCGCTACCAGGCCGGGCCACGCCGCCCTCCCTCATTGGGCAGTGCGAAACCCGCGGCCACACTCCCTCTGGCGCGGCTCTTTCCCCAGCCCCGCCCCCTCGACGCCGCTACCCTGCGTCACTTCCGGCGGAGAGGTAGTCCGAAAGGTTAGGTGAAAGTGACTTCAGAAAAGTCCGGAGGCGCTTCCCGCCGAGGTGATAGTAAGGTCAGGCGGGCGCGGGTTCCCGGAGGGGGACTTGAGGCGCCATTTCAAGTCGCTTCCAGCCTCTCCCACAGCACTCCTGTTTGCCTGGGCCTCCTCATGGCCCACAGCCCTCAGTCGCCGTGGAAAGATCCTGGGCTTCAGGTTTGAATTCCGGGTCTGCCACTTGACTGGCTGTATACTTGGTAGAATCTGGCATCCGACACAGGCGTGTAACATGGGCTTGATGACACCCACCCCACCGGGCCCCTGTAGGACCAGATGATTTCCAATGCCAAGCCCTGACCTCCAGCCAATGCTCCTGCCCGCCTCTCTCTCCCAAGAGCCAGGCTTACCTCTACCTGTGCAGCTGGGCTCTGACTCTTGACTGGAATCATCTGGCTGGGCCCGTTCCCTCACCAGATTTATTATCAGGCGCCCCAGCACCCACCAAACATCTATCAACTGAAGTAATGAGCCTGCAGTTGAGAGGCAGCTAAACCTAGGTTGAAGGTTCCGATGTGAGGGCAAATCCCCAGGCCAATTAGTCTTTCTGAGCCTGTTGCCTCATTGAAAAAGGAAGACAATCATCATGCTGATCTCAGAATTGAGGAGGTGCATGTGAAGCATTTTGGGTACCTGGTGGGGCTAAGTGGGCTCTGTAGGTGGTAGTTCTGGGGCCCTAACCGTCCTCTGCCTCATGCTAATTGACCTGTGGGCATGACCGGTGACATCATGACTGAGAAAATGATTTGAAAGTAGTAATCGCTGTCAGGAATTGCCTCCTCATTTAACCCACTGCTGCCTTGGGCCCACTAAAATCATAACCACATGTTCTGACCCAGCACCTCAGAGAAAACCTCCATTAGGGTGGCTGTCCCTCCAATCAGGTGGCTGCCCCTTCATGCAGGTGGCTGCCCAATTGAGTTAACTCTGCCCCTGAGTGTCCTGCCTCAGTGGGCAAAGCACTGGTGCCCAAGGCTGGCCTTTTATACGTACCAAACTACTCAGCACTGGGCACTGGAGGCTGCAGGGAGAAGGGGGAGGGGCCGGGCTTGGGCTGGGATAGACAAGTCAGGTGAATCTCAGGCAGCAACTGCAGGGTTCAAGGGAGGTGAAGACGGAGAAAACTGTGGGTTGGGTGGGCGCGGTGGCTCATGCCTGTAATCCCAGCACTTTGGGAGGATGAGACAGGTGGATCACCTGAGGTCAGGAGTTCGAGACTAGCCTGGCCAACATGATGAAACCCCATCGCTACTAAAAATACAAAAATTGGACCAAGCGCAGTGGCTTATGCCTGTAATCCCAGCACTTTGGGAGGCTGAGGTGGGCAAATCACCTGAGGTCAGGAGTACAAGACCATCCTGGCCAACATGGTGAAATCCTGTCTCTACTAAAAATCCAAGAAATTGCTGGGTATGGTGGCAGACACCTGTAATCCCAGCTACTTAGGAGGCTAAGGTAGGAGAATAGCTTGAACCCGGAAGGTAGAGGTTGCAGTGAGCTGAGATCACACCATTGCACTCCATCCTGGGCAACAAGAGTGAAACTTCATCTCAAAAAAGAAAAAAATACAAAAATTAGTTGGGTGTGGTGTCGGGTGCCTGTAATCCCAGCTGCTTGGGAGGCTGAGGCAGAAGAATTGAACTTAGGAGATGGAGGTTGCAGGGAGCCAAGATCATGCCATTGTACTCCACCCTGGGCAACAGAGCAAGACTATCTCAAAAAGAAAAGAAAAGAAAACTATGAGGGTTGTGGTGAGGGGAGCCTGCTGCCCAAACCAGGCCCACCAGCCCCAGACCTTTGGTGCTTCCCTTTCAGGAAAGTTGGAGTAAAGTGAAGACAGGGCAGGAGCCGGGACTTTAGAGTCAAGCTACAGGGAACAAAAAGCAGCAGATGCTGCCAGTGTGGACTGGCAGGAAGAACGAGTGTCCTTTTCCATTGTCTGAAGATGGTCTCAAGCTTCTCTGCAGCCCAAGGACCCAACCACAGCAATCTTCTGTTCCCTCTATGTGGGAACATAGAGAGGCAGGGGCAGTGAGTGAGGGTCACTCAGCAGATCTGGGTCCCACCCCAAACGCTCTGGCCACAGAAGGCTGTCTCCTTCCAGAAAAGAACCCCGGTGTGAAGCAGGAGGGCTGGCACTCTGTATCAACTGGGCTCTCCCTGACCTGCACGCCTGGCAATAACATGGAAGTGATGAATCCATGATTCCAGCCTTGCCTGGGATCTGCGGCGGCACCTTAGTCCTCATTTCCTTCATCTGCACAATGAGGGAGCGAGGCAGGCTGTGGATTTAGTGTTGCAGACATTCATGCCCAAACCAGCCAGCCTGGACAGTGACAAACAGTGATACAGGCAGGGACAGCTGCTTTCCATCTCCTTTATCAGGGTTGGGGGTCACAGTTCTCATACAGAAGCCCAAATCCCAGTAGGCAGAGGTTTGGGTCTTCTTAGTGAGGGGAGGAAGAGCCAGTTGTAAAATGCTTACTTGCCCAGGGTGGTTAGAAGCTGAGACAGTACCCCATTTTCCCCTGAGCTGGTAAATGACCCCTCTTGCTGCCTCCCAGTCTCCTCTTCCAACTCTGTCCAGTTAGATGACAGCCTCAGGGAGACAAGGGATGGCAGGAGAGCCCTCTGAGAGGCACAGGTCCTGGAGCAGCTTCTGCCTGGGCTGAGGTCTTGGGGGCTTGGCCGTTTTCACCAGGCTCCTCTCTGTTCCCCCATTAGGGTATGGCCTCTTGAGGCAAGTCATCCCGGTGAGTCTGAAAAGCCGTATGTCACCTTCGGAGTTTCCGGCACCTGAGGAGGGAGGATGTGATGTGTTCATGCTGCTGGAACTCAGCCCCAGCCCTGGACTCACTTGTGCCTCGGGCCCATTAAGTTCACAACCTAGGCATCCTGCCACACCACTCAGCCCTGGGCGCTGGAGGCTGCAGGGAGAAGGACAAAACTTCTGTGAAGTCCATCCTCTCCTGATACTCCTGGGAAGCTCCCACTGGCCTGGCCCATATGTCACCCCATGGCCTCACTGTGGGACACAGGTGGTGAGAGACACATCAGATAAGGGTGGATGAGGGTTCCACTATGTCCCCTGGCCTCTTGAAACCCATAGGTAGGGTAGGTGTCTACCACAGAGGCTTCTGGGAAGGCCCGAACTGCAAGCTGGAAAAGCTGTGGCCCGCATTTTTTCTTTCTTTTTTGAAACAGAGTCTTGCATTGTCGCCAGGCTGGAGTGCAGTGGTGCCATCTCGGCTCACTGCAACCTCTGCCACCCAGAATCAAGTGATTCTCCTGCCTCAGCCTCCCAAGTAGCTGGGACTACACGTGCATACCACCATGACCAGCTAATATTTGTATTTTAGTAGAGACGGGGTTTCACCATGTTGGCCAACATGGCCTTGATCTCTTGACCTCATGATCTGCCTGCCTCGGCCTCCCAAAGTGGTGGGATTACAGGCGTGAGCCACCGCGCCTGGCCCTGTGGCTTGCATTTCTACTCCAGGCAGATGTCACCTCCTCCAAGAGATCTCTGACCTCTGAAACATCAGGCCAGGTGCTCCTCACCACAGCCCTTGACATCTCTACTGGCATCATCCCTCCTGTATCTGACTCCTGAGTTAGAATGTTTGACTTGCTTACACAGCTCCAATTACCAACAGCTGCCTGGTAATATTTGTTCAACATATTCAACAGCTTCCCCTTCCCTGGCCCTCCTCCTACTGGAAGGCTCACCACACACCTGCTCCAGAACAGGGCCTTGATGCATTTCCAAACAAATACCACCCCACAGATGCCTCACCTGCAGGTGTCTGGGTTGAGCTCTAAGCCCCGCCCTTGGCAACGGAAGAAGCTGCGGCGTCGGCAGCGGCAGCGGCAGGTCCGGTGGTCAGGGCGCCAGTGGCGCTGGGTGCAGCGTGGGCAGAGGGGCCTGGGGCTGGAGTAGGATGGGTGATGTCAGCTGGGGAGGGTGCTCCGGGGACAGAATCCCAGCCCGGAACAGAGCGGGGCTGGGGACGGTGGTGGGGAGTGGCAGCCCTAGGGAGGAGAAGCAACATGTCTGGGGTGGGAAGAAAGAGTCTTCCCTGGAGCTGGGGTCAGGGTGGAGCACACAGGCTTTGGGAGCAGAGGAAAAGGGAAAGCGGGCGACAGGTGAGCGGAGAAACATGGGAGGGGGCGACGGCTTCCAGACTCCCTGGTACTACCCTTGCCCCCACTCAGCTGGAGTCCAAGAGACTCACCTGTCCGGCTTCACAGCACTGTTTTTTCTTTTAGGTCTGAAAAGTAAGAGAGATAGACAGAGACAAGAGAAGGAAGATCAGGAAATCCCAGTATCCTACTCTTTTTTTTTTGAGACTGAGTTTTGTTCTTCTTGCCCAGGCTGGAGTGTAGTGGCATGGTCTCAGCTCACTGCAACCTCCGCCTTCCAGGTTCAAGCTATTCTCCTGTCTCAGCCTCCCAAGTAGCTGGGATTACAGGTGTCCGCCACCGCACCTGGCTAATTTTTGTATTTTTAGTAGAGACAGGGTTTCACCATGTTGGCCAGGCTTGGTCTTGAACTCCTGACCTTAGGTGATCCACCTGTCTCGGCCTCCCAAAGTGCTGGGATTACAGGCATGAGCCATTGCACCCAGCCTAAGCATCCTATTCTCTTGCCCCAGATCCAAGGCCTACCCTTGGCTCTACTTTTAGGAACCTGGTTCCCAGTTCTGTGGACCACCATACCCAGCACCCCCAAGCCTGGCCTCTGAGAGCTGAGAAGTTGGGTCTGGCTGGCACCTGCATTCACACTGGCTGTGTTCTTCCAGGGACATCTCCCCCAGCTGACTGCTTGGGTACCGGATCATGAGGATCTGTGCTCAGAAGAACAGGGAGGACAGTGAGGGAGAAAGAAAAGGGATGCTCTAAGGCTGGAGGGAGAAAAGCTCACCCAACAGCCTGGACCCTGGCTGTCAGCCCTCCTCTCCACCCACCTCCTGTGCCTCAGTCTCCAGGCTGCCCCAGTCCCAGAGCCAGCCAGCATCACCCTGCCCGCTGCCCCGCCTGCCCCATACCTGCATCCCCTGCCCGCTGCCCCGCCTGCCCCAGTACCTGCATCCCCTGCCCGATGCCCTGACTGCCCCAGTACCTGCATCCGGACTTGGTGCTGCCCAGTAGGCACACACTCCAGGCCATCGTCAGGGCAGCAGCCACCACAGCGCTGCACGGTCACACAGCTGGGCACCAGCTGTTTGGCCACGGTGCCCATGAGCTCCACAGTCAGGGGCACCACCACCTCCCGGGGCTGGCAGGTAGCACGAGTATACACATCTATCCATGACACTACTGGGGGCAGACCGGTAAAGGATTAAGTCCCCACTGGTTTTCCTGCAGCTGCTCCCAGCAGCTGTCCTCCCCAGTCCCCCCACAGCCACCCTCCACTAGCCCTCCCTGCTCTGCCCTCACAACCTGTCTTCCCCTGCCCTGTTTATCCAGAACCAAGTAACCCCACTGCCTCAGTTTCCTCCTTCATGAAATGGGTAGAATAATAGTTTGCGTCTTCCAGGGGAGTTACACAAGATGATGGACGCCAGGCACCTGGAAACAGGGCCCGTGATAAACCCTCTTAGCGCTGGCTAGAACTGAGTTTTTATGAGTATTACCTTTCTTCTGGTGGCCAGGGGCATCAGGCTGGGACACAGGGGCCTGTGGGAGAGAAAAGACCTGGACCCGAGGTACACGCCAGGAGAGTGTGGCATTGTCGCCATCCCTGGGTCTTTGCCCTTGCATCAGGAGGCTTCACCACCTCGCTGCCATCTTTCCAGATTGCTCTGTTCCTGTGGCCACTGCTCTAGCTTTATCTGTCCTCTCTTGGCCATCCTGGACCTACCCTCGCTCAAAAACAGGTGCCCCGGTGGCCGCATCAAATCTCCAGGCTGCGGAGCCGAGCATGTCTGGGGCTGCATACAGATCAGGAGAGCGCACCAGGTCCAGCGGGCACCGAGGCAGCCCCGCCCCCGGCAGTGCCCAGGGGACGGGGTGGGGCAGAGGAGTGGCCCCAGGCTAGGGCTGGCAGGCTGGCGGGGAGGGGCACCTCTCAGGGGATGCACGCGCCGGGCCCCTGAGACGTCCGCGTTCAAGGCCGGACCCCGTAGATCCCCTCGGCGGAGGCCGCGGGTCGCCTCCTCACTTCCGCCAACCTTGAGAGAGGGCAAGGCGGGCTGGCGCGCTGTCTGGCTGCACGTACCTGGGCGGGGGCCAGCTGCAGGAGCGCGGCGAGCAGCAGGCGGCGGAGCAAGGGGCTCATGGTGCCCGCAGGGGCCGCCCGCTGGGGGCGCCCGCATCGCCCTAGCCCGGTGGCGCGGGAGGCGGCGGCAGCCAGAGCCCCATGGCTTGGGCCCGGACGCGGCGGGTAGGGGCCGGGCGCGGGGGGCGGCTCCTCCACGGCCCCCTCCCGAGCCCTGATTTCAGGCAGCGCAGCGTAGCACAGTGGCGGCAGGAGGAGCCGGGCAGGCGGGCGAACGGTGGCGGCGGGCTGTGGCGGCGGGGACGGCGGGGGCGACGGGGGGCCGGGCCGGGGCTGGCGGGCGGGCGGCTCATGTGACCCAGACACGCGCTCCCCACCGGGCCGTGGGGCGGGGGCGGGGCAGTAGGGGGGGGCGAGGCCGCCGGCGGGGCCCGCCCCCTCCACACACCCCCTCCCGCCTCCCGCCGTAGCAGGGGAAAGGGGACGCGCCGCCCAAGGGGCCGGGCTCCCCGGTGGCCCATCGCTGGAACCTGGAGGGCGGGGCGCTGCCCCTTGGGGAGGCTGGGACTAGGGGCGCTAGGCCTAAAAGAGGGAGCCGGACACGAGCTCTGCAAACACTTTATTGGGTGCATTTTGGGGAGCGGGCAGTCCTGGGAAGGAAGCAAGATGGAACGTACAGCAGACCCGCAACCAGGTGAGCTCCTCAGGGGCCAGCGCCTGGGGGCACGATCTCGGGGCCTTGGGTTGGCCCTGGTGATGGTGGCTGATGCTGCTTCTGCCATTGTTGCTTCTGCTGGAGGCTGGCTCTGTTGGCCCTGGAGGAGAGGGCACCTGGGTGGTTGGGACAGGGATCCCCAAGGGTAGTGCCAGGACAGGGAGCAGGGGGGCAGAATAGAGCAGGGACAGACCTGGCCCGCGCCCGCGCCTCATTGTACATGGCGGTGATGATCCGATCCTTTTCATCCATGAAGTTAAGGTGCATCTGCTCCACCATCCTGCAATGGGTCACAGTTAACTCTGGGACTCCAATTCCTGCTGTCCCTCAAGTCCTGCCTTCTTCCACCCCACTCTAGGGGCCTCACAGCTCTTTAACCCTCACAGGGTTAGGGACCTCAGCCTGACACTGTCTATGATAGGTGGGGAGAGCTCAGAGTGGCCCTGGCTTGTCCAGGGTCCAAAGGCATCCAAAGGTCCTGGCTGCTTCGAGGTGTGACAGCAGCTATGAACATTGGGTGCTCCTCCCAGAAGACTAGAAAGGGTGTGCATCTAATTCCGTCACTGAACGAGGCAGGCTGCTAGCAGTGGGCACTGGCCTTTAGGTATCTGCTATAGAAAATCAGGTTCATGGCCAGGCGCGGTGGCTCACGCCTATAATCCCAGCACTTTGGGAGGCGGAGGTGGGTGGATCACCTGAGGTCAGGAGTTCAAGACCAGCCTGACCAACATGGTAAACCCCTTTCTCCACTAAAAATACAATAAATTAGCTGGGCATGGTAGTGTGTGCCTGTAGTCCCAGCTGCTGAGGAGGCTGAGAGAGAAGAATTGCTTGAATCCAGGAGGCAGAGATGAGGTTGCAGTGAGCCAAGATCGAACCACTGCACTCTAGCCCGGGCGACAGTGTGAGACTTCGTCTCAAAAAAAAAAGGAAGAAAAAAGAAAATCAGCTTCATGGCACGTGTGAGAGTGGCAAAGAGATGCGGACTGCCAAATGAAAGCAGTGCTGCATTTGCTGCTTGTGCTTTTGTTTGGCTCAATCCCTCCCTGGCAGCCAGCATGAAAGATTTACATTTGTAATATGAAAAACTGTAAGTGACAACGTTAGCTCTTAGTGCAGCGCTGTCTTCACTAAGTAAGGAGAGGCTCCAAAAACTGTGAGATTTCAAGCAACTCGCAGTTTGAGAGTCACAAGAGTACCTGCCGTGAGGTGCCGTGCGGGGCTGGCTGACCACACTGGAATTCACCCATCCTCCTGCCCTCTGCCCATTTCCCCCAGGGAGAAGAGGCGTTACCTGAAGACGACATAGTGCAGGCCCATGCCAACCAGCATGAGCAGGAGGCAGTACCTCAGCACTTGCTGGTTGCATTTGTGTTGCCGCTGCCTAGACTGGGGGCCCTGTGGCCTCACATGGTGAAACTGGGACCAGTACTGTGCGTTGGGGTGCTCCCAGGAGCTGCTAGGAGGCAGAGGAAGGGACACTGGAAATGAGGCTCCCCAAGAGACCTGGGGTGGGGTGAGCTGAGGGCAGGACTACTGTACCTGTGTGTTTGGCGGGCAGACTTGTCATGGGCTGTGGTTCCTGGAGACTTTGGGGGGCCAGGTGAGCGGAGCTGGTCATCATAGCTGCGGCGGCTCTGCTCATGGCTGAGCACATGGTATGCCTCGTTCAGCTCCACAAAGCGGTTGTGCAGGGCCGGGTTTCCAGGGTCCCGGTCCGGGTGCAGCTGGGGTGAGGCAGGACTCCCCTTGTCTCCCTTTGCCTGTCCCTCCCCAGGAGCCATGCTGATGACATCCATCCCCCAGGGTTCCAATCATGCCCAGAGGCCCCACCTGGTCGATGACCCTCACTCTGGCCTCCCTACTCCTCAGAAGGCCAGAGAGCCATGGACTCCTGCCCCCTCCTGTGTTCAAGCCCTCCCTACCTGCCAGCCCCCTGCATTTACCATATGCCTGGTTCCAGGTTTCTCAAGAATAGGTAGGTCAAGAAAACCAAGCCCAGCCCATCAGACGACCCCTGGCTCCTGCCTACAGCCTTTCCCTTGCCCTTGAGCACCTGCCACTCCCTTTGAGGGCTGAAAGAACATGCTACCAGCCAGAGATGCAGGTCTACACCTGGGAACTTGAAGCATGCCCTCACTGGCTGTTCCTGCTCCCCCTCCGCACATTAGGGGCACTGTTACCTCTTTGGACTTGGCAAAGAAAGCTCGTTTAACTTCCTCAGTGCTGGCACCAGGATGCACCCCCAACACGTCATAATAATTCCTGGGCCTGGACCTGTGGAGAGAGTCCCAGACCTGCTGGGGCTGAGGAAACCCAGAAGATAGCTTCACTCTGCCCTTCCCAGCCCTCCCTGGGCCTTTAAGTCAGCCTCAGGGAGCTGAGAGGCTGAAACAGGTCCAAGGACCCATCTGTCTCCAGATCAGCCCTCCCTTTGGAGTGTTTCAGGCATAATACACGTCAGCATCTCTCAAAGTGGAGTCCAAAAACTGTTGGAAAAAACTGATTCCTAAGCCCCACCCAATTGATTCCTTCAGTTCAGAATCTCGAGAGCAGAGCCCAGGAATCTGCATTTTGTACCCAACACCCCCCCGCCCACATGCCTCCAATCCCCACAGAGGGCTATGCACAGTGATGCTTGAAAACCACTAGAGCTGTGGTAAGAGCGTTGGGTTCAACGCAAATTCCTGGACTCAAATTCCTCCTATGCCGCTTAAATCGGTGTATGACCTTGGGGGTCTTTATCTCCGATCCTCAACAGTGAAGGTGAGGGTTACCTGAGACAAACCTGGGAACCTCCTGACACGCAGTAGAGACCACAAATATCTCAGCACATAGGGCAAACAGTAACCCATTGAAGAACCAGGCCGGCCTCCCGCGCCCAACTCACCGCTGCCCGGCTGCCGTTCCGAGGAGCCGGGAGGGAGGGCTGCGGGGCCACAGCCGGCACAGGCGCAGGGGCAGTAGGGGCGGCATGGCGGCGGGAGGGCAGCTGGGAAAGAAGGCCGCCAAGAGCACATTGGGAGCAGGATGGGGCTAGACTTCAAGCACCTGAGGCAGAGGGAAGTGGCCTGACCCAGTGTTCCTGCGAAGGAAGACTGAAGCAGGCCCGGGAAGGGGGCGGTTCTTGCCCAGGACCAGACCCGCGTGTCCTGGACCTGCCCCTTCCTCTGACTGGGGCATCCGCGGCCCTTCCCCGCGCTAGCTTCCAGGTCTGGACAACCAGCCCGGCCTCCCGCGCCCCGTTCCCACCCAGGGAGCTTGAGGCCGGGCGAAGGAGGGGCCACGAACAGGCCCCGCCCCCACCGCGCACGGACTCCGCGGCCGCCGCCACTTCCTGCCTCTAATCAGGCCCCGCCCTCGCACTCTCATTGGCGTGGTTGCTAAGACCACGCCCAACTTGCCGGAAAATACGGTTGAGACCCCGCCCCTACGCGTCCATTGGCCTTTGGTGCCTCCGGCCCTCCCGCCTTCGGACTCGCAGGACAGGCGCGGGCGCTGGACAGGAGCGGCAGGGACGGAGCCCACTCTCTGAGTCTTTTTGAGGCTTTCGGCCCGGCCACCGTCTCTCCGTTACGCTGCTGCTCCGCTCTGCAGCGAGGCATATCTCACAGAGCTGCTTCTGCCCCGGAGCCTTGCTGGAGACAGCAAAGGGAGGCACAGCCCTTATCCCGTGCTTGCAGAGGGGGTCACTGAGGCTGGCGGAGGTTTTTTTTCCCCCCCAAGTCACGTGTCTTGCCGTACACACTCAGGCCCCATTGCTCCTTTTTATCACAGAAACAGCAGATGCCAACAAAATGAATGAAGTCCTTTATTGTCTTCAGAATGGTGGGAGTAGGGCTGGGGACCTTAGGGCCGCTCCGGTGGGACTTCCCTGAACCCGGTTGTAGAGGAGAATGGCGCCTTTGGCGGAGGGACAGAGCTCAGCCCACATCTCCGTCTCCTGCAATCTCCGCACGTTCTGTGGGGACACAGCCAGACCCAGGCATTCAGGCCTTGCCACATCTGCTAGGGCTGTGCCTGGAATTCCTGAGCCTCAGAGACCTCTGGACTGTCCCTAGGAAGGCATGTTAAGGAGCTGAACAGGTCCCCGGACCTTTCCCTTGCACTGAGGGCAAATCTTGTGACTCTGGAGGGAACTGTGACCCAGCCGACACCTCCCCTACAAGACAAGCAATGCCAGGCCTCTTTGCAGGCCCCAGCCCTGGCCTCCAAGTAAGACGGTTTGTCACTCTGCACCTGTGTCTCCACAAAGATGATTCCTGTAGACTCGTGGGCCTCGGGACCTCCACTCAGGTAGTGCTTCCTCACCTGCTCAGAAGTCAGGCTGCACCTGGACAAGAACACACAGGTGGCTTAGTGGGTGACCAGCCCCTGCGGGGGTCCCTGTGGAGCCACAGCTGCCTCAGCCCATTCCTCATCACCCACCTCCCCAAGACCCAGGATCAAGTACCCGAGCCCACTCACTGGACGTAGAACTCGGCACTGGCTCGGCCAGCACTGGTCTCGTTTCGGGCGATTCCCAACAGCAGGGGCTGGCTCAGGGTGAGCAGCGGCAGGTTCACCTGGGGTGGAGGGTTGTGGGGGGGATTCCCTCCTATCAATGCCACTGCCCACATCCCTGCCCCTCTCAATGAAAATCAGCCTGTTACCCATGTACAGTATTTTATGCCTTGTAGATCAAGGTTCCAGCATCACAGTATGTCACCTGATGGCCATATTTGTTCTACAGATGCACCAAAACCAGACAGACTGAGCACGTTGCCCAGAGTTGCCCAAGGGAAGTCAATTTAGTGACTGGGACTCCCACGTACTCCTTTTTCAACAGACTTGAGGAGGAGGCAACACATTTGTGATTGTTTCCATTGAAAAGAAGATTCCTTGGCTGGCCAATCCCAATACTTTGGGAGGCTGAGGCTGGTGAATCACTTGAGGCCAGGAGTTTGAGACCAGCCCAGCAACATGGTGAAACCTCATCACTACTAAAAATACGAAAATTAGCCAGGTGAGGCCGAGGGCAGTGGCTCACATCTTTAATCCCAGCACTTTAGGAGGCCAAGGTGGGCAGATCACGAGGTCAAGAGTTTAACACCACCGTGACCAACATGGTGAAACCCCGCCTCTACTAAAAATACAAAAAAATTAGCCAGGCATGGTGGCCTGTGCCTGTAATCCCAGCTACTCAGGAGGCGGAGGTAGGAGAATCACTTGAACCCAGGAGGCGTAAGTTGCAGTGAGCCGAGATCACGCCACTGCACTCCAGTCTGGCAACAGTGCCAGACTGTCTCAAAAAAAATTAGCCAGGCATGGTGGCCGGCACCTGTAATCCCAGCTACAGGAAGCTGAGGCATGAGAAACCCTTGAACCCGGGAAGCGAAGGTTGCAGTGAGTCAATATGGCACCACTCCACCCAGCCTGGGTAACAGAGCAAGACTCTCAAAAAAAAAAAAAAAGAAAGAAAATAAGAATCCAAGGCAGCGGGCATTGAGGGCTAGAATTCCACTCCAAGTATGTCTAGTTGTAAAGCCAACTTCTTCAATGCTGGCCAGATGCCTGCAGGCCTCCTGCCAGCCCAGACCTGTAGAATTCTGGCAAGTCCTACACCTCCCTTCATGTCTACCACCCTGTGCAGGTCAACCTCACTCACCTCATCACAGATCTCCTGAAGGACACTGGAAAAGAACTCACGTACCACCAATTCCCCAGCGAGGTCCTGGTGCTGGGGGCTGTCACCAGGGCACAGGGCCTATGAGAAGTCAGGCTCAGCCCCTGCTCCCCACCCTCTTCCCTCCCACCCCATCTCAGGATCAGCAAGCCTATGCTTGCTGGCCCTGAGATCCTGATGTGACGCAGTGTAAGAGAGTTAGTGATCCCAAGTCTGGTGTCCTTTTCCAGGCAGACAACCAGAGGTCCAGCTTCAAAGGGGTCACACAGGGGGTGGGATGGGGTAGGGCATCTTCTTCCTGTTCGTGATCTTTCCTCCCTATGCTTCTAGTTTCTCACAGGACTGGGGCAGGGGTCAGTGGGGAGGCAGCCGGACTGCCCTGAGCAAACTTTCAGAGAAACACCAGGCCAATTTTCCCTTTAAGGGACGAGGAAACCAAAGCTGGGAGGGTTGGGAAGGTGGAAAGCTGCAGCTCCCTTGAGCCGTCTGGGTCTTTGTGCCCAGGTTGGCATCTCACCTGAGGCTCAGGGTGCCCACCAGGCACATCCACGAGCCCGGTGGCCTCAGCCACCTGCCAGGAGCGGCGCAGGAAGACAAGAAAGTCATCAGCCGTGGCTAGTGCAGCGCCCACCCCCAGTGGGTCCGCCAGATAGGCCTGAGTGTCACCATAGTCGGTGGCCCCCTGCTGTCGCAACCAGGCAGCTGAGCTGGACCAGTTGGTGCCCAGGAAGTCCCGGTAGGAAGTAAGACCCAGATGTAGGAGCAGCTGTGGCCCCAGAGATCCAGTGGGCGCCAGGGTGGCTGAGTGCAGGCGAAACTTGGGGGCGTCGAAGAGCCAGGGTTGGGCCTTTAGCCGGGTTTCCCAGATGGCAGTGATGGCCTCGTCCCCACCTGGCAGTGGGCGACGGTCATAGGCGGGGCTCAGCTCAGCCTGGACCTGCTCCTGGGGCAGGCCCCCCGCAGGGCACTGCAGCAGCAGGGTCACCTCAGGATCCATGGTGGGGCAGCTCTGGGGGAGGATACAGCCAGGTCTGTCACCCAGGAGGGCCACTACCACTCCTGGGGTGCGCAGCTGGCCCCCTCTGTCGCAGACCTCCTGAAGGCACCCGCAGCCCTTCTGCACCCCCCTGACCACTCCTTGGGCAGCGAAGCGTCCCATCTTCCCCGCAGGAGCCCCGAGTCCCGCAGGGTGTCCAGGACACCCAGGCATCCCTACCACCAAAAGGCTGGGTTCAGGTGACCCCAAATGCCCATGTTCCCCAAACCCAGAGTCTGCCTCCGACCCTGGTCGCGCGGAGATCCTCCTCCCAGGGCCCAGAAGCTCCAGCCTCGAGCCGGCGCTCACCGACCGCCGGGTCCCGCAGGCTCCGCCCCTTCCCCTGAAGCGGAAGTGCCCACCTACTTGCCCCGCGGCTTTTCATTGGCGGGTCCGCCGCCCGCCCCGCCGCGGTCGCGGAGCTTGGTGGTTAGTCCCCGCTGCCCAGACGCTTCCGCTCCGTCCGTCCGTCCGCACGTCGGCCCCGCCTCCCAGACTACCCTGTTGGGACGCACCCGCAAGCTGGTATGCAGGGCTCGGTCTCCCTGCGCTCCTGGCTGACGGTGTGACCTTGGGCAAGTCTGGCTTTCCCTCTCTGCACCTGGGACGTGGGAGGGGGGGTGGTGAATTTAATGAGCCGTATGCCCCCACCCAGCGCTCATTTCCTGAGACTGTGATTTTTCTGGGAGGGGTGGGGACTTGGGAGGGTCCTTAACGCAGTGCTCCCTCGTCACTGCCCCACAGGTCTTAGCCATGAACTCCTCTGGAGAAGGAAGGCAGGAAGCAGCAGGGCCCAGGGCTAGAAGGACCCTCAGACCCCGGGAACAGGTGCGCGCCTCCTCCCCACCCGCTCCCACCAGTCCAGGCTCCCTGGGAGTTGCTGAGGGGCGGGGCTGAAGGGTTCTACCATTCCTGGAGACCACTGGCACTCCTCTCCCTCTGGGCTCTCTCTGCAGTGGTCTTTGAGGGTTCAGGGTGGGCAGCAGGGCAGGGTCACCATGGAGACCAGGGACCACCGCTGGGTTCTTTCAGGACCGAGACGTGCAGCTGTCCAAGGCTCTATCATATGCCCTGCGCCACGGAGCCTTGAAGCTGGGGCTTCCTATGGGAGCCGGTAAGTAGGGGCCTTGGAGGCTGGCGCTTGAGCCCAGAGAGCAACAAGAGCCTGTCTGTGACCCCTCCTCCACGGCTGCCTCCACTGCTCCCTGAGGAAGGCACAGAGGGCACTTCTTCCCCACGCACAGAGGAGAGCCAGGCCTAGAGACCCTGTCATGCCCACAGCAGACCGAGGAGGGCTCTTGTCTGGGCCAGGCCTGGCGATGCCCCCTCCAGCTAAGCAGCTACATCAGCACTTACCTCGAAGGCGTGCCCTGGAGGGTATGGGCACCTGGTATCGAAAGTGTGTACTCACCTCCCTGCCCCTCCGTGAGGCAGATCCTCTTTCTGTGTAAGTTGAAAAAACAGGCCCAGAAAGGGGAGACTTTTTTTTTTTTTTTTTTGAGATGGAGACTCGCTCTGTCGTCCAGGCTGGAGTGCAGTGGCGTGATCTCGGCTCACTGCGACCTCCACCTCCCGGGTTCAAGCGATTCTCCTGCCTCAGCCTCCCGAGCAGCTGGGACTACAGGTGCCTGCCACCACGCCCAGCTAATTTTTGTATTTTTAGTAGAGATGGGGTTTCTCCATGTTGGCCAGGTTGGTCTTGAACTTTTTTTAAATTTTTCTTTTTTGTTTTTTTGTTTGTTTGTTTTGGTCTCGAACTCTTGACCTCATGATCCACCTGCGACGGCCTCCCAAAGTGCTGGGATTACAGGCGTGAGCCACCGCGCCTGGCAGAAAGGGGAGACTTTCCGAAGGTCCCACAGAGGATGCCCATGCAATTCCCAAGTCCAGACTTTTTTTGTGTTACCTGTGGCTCCCTGTTAACCCTGGTGCAGTCCAGAGCAAGCCTGGTTCCTGAGTACCTGCCTGCCCGCAGATGGCTTTGTGCCCCTGGGCGCCCTCCTGCAGTTGCCCCAGTTCCACCGCTTCTCTGCTGAAGACGTGCAGCGCGTGGTGGACACCAACGGCAAGCAGCGATTCGCCCTGCAGCCTGGGAATCCCAGCACTGGTCCCCTCATCCGGGCCAACCAGGGCCACTCCCTGCAGGTCAGGGTGAGGGGACAAGCAGGAGAGCCAGATGGGAGGGACCCCTGCCTGCCAAGGTGGTTTCACTGCTGCCCATTCAACCAGGTACCTGAGTTGGAGCTGATGCCTCTGGAGACACCACAGGCCCTGCCCCCGGTGCTAGTTCATGGTACATTCTGGAAGCACTGGCCATCCATCCTACTTAAGGGCCTGTCCTGCCGGGGAAGGACGCATATCCACCTGGCCCCAGGACTGCCTGGAGACCCCGGTGTCATCAGTGGTGAGTGCCCTCCCCTCCACCCAGCTACTCCTACCCACTCTGTACTCCCAGGTCCCCTCCAAAGGTTACAACCCTCATCTGAGGCCACCCCATGCCCAACATGGAACAGCACCCCCGCATCCCCCAACCCAGGGTTGCTGACTGCGCCCTGGGTGCTTAGGCCCCCACCCCCGCTGTCTCTGCAGGCATGCGGCCACACTGTGAAATAGCTGTGTTCATCGATGGACCCCTGGCCCTGGCAGGTGAGTCTGGTCAAAGTAGGGGCTTCCCTGGCCTTCCGGAGGGCATGAGTCACATCTCTGGCTCTGTTGGCAGATGGAATACCCTTCTTCCGCTCTGCCAATGGAGTGATTCTGACTCCAGGGAATACTGATGGCCTCCTGCTTCCCAAGTACTTCAAGGAGGCCCTGAGGCTACGCCCTACCCGTGAGAGCCACCACCCCAGCCCCTATTCCTTGTGCCTGAAGCCTGTGCCCTTCTGCCCTCACCTCTCTCCTAGCCTCCAACCCCAGGCTGACTTAGATTTCCCTTTCTCTAACCAACTTGTCTCTATCAGGAAAGCCCCTTTCCTTGACTGGTGATGAAGAGACAGAGTGTCAGAGTGGCCCCAAGCACATCTCCAGAGGAAGGGGGAGGATCCAACAATAAAATATTAATTTATGAAAAAGAAATTTTAAAAAGTAACAAGAAAGAAACTCCAGTTCAAAACCATGCTTCATCATCCCATAGCTACATCTTCTGGTCTTCCCTGTGTGCGGGGGGACTGCAGATAGGTCAGGGGTATCAGCATCAGCCACTCAGACAAGGAAAGGGGGCACTGCATGAGCTCGGGGACCCCCACCCCTAGCCCTAGCCTGGGTGATGGCAGTGTCTGGCCCAGCCAGGTCGCTGGCCTGCAGAAAGCCAGTGACAGCGGATGAATATGCCCAGCTGGGTGCCTGCCTGGAGCAGGTGTGGAGCAGTGAGTCCCAGTGGGTGTGGGCTTGGGAGTGGCTGTGACAGGTGGTGAGCAGGGTAGGGGCAGTCAGACGGCCCTTAGAAGGCCTCATGGCCTCCTGTGAGCTGCAGGAAGAGGTCTTCATCCAGCTCCTCCCCCCGGGCCCGCTCCCGGGTCGACAGGAAAATGTAGCCCCCAATGTACTCGTGCACAATCCGGCAGCTGGCAGACACACAGCTAAAGGCCACATTGATGTGCTCATCAAACTCAATGGCCACCTGAAGAGGGGACAGTCAGAGGGGCGAATGGGGGGTGGGATAATGGAGCACCACTGTCCCACCCTGGCTGGATCCAGCTCCGGCCTGGCACCTTCCCCCCATCCCTGCCCTTGGTCTGGGCCTACCTGCCGGATGTCCCAGTTGACGTTCCACTGGCGCATGTTGCTGAAGCGCCAGGTCTTGACCACGTCGCCCACAGCCAAGTCGATTCGGATCAGTCGGTTGTTGGCGATGCCCAAGATCTCGTCTTTCCTGCTGCCCTTGAACCTGGTCCCCAGTGGGAGAGAGTGTGAGCAAGGGCCCCCCCACCCTCCACATGGCCCAATCCGCCCAGACAAGGTGCTTCCATGCTGGAGAGCGAGCCCTTTCCCACGCTGCAGCTCACCAGCTGTGTGACCCTGAGCAAGCCATTTGGGTTCCCTGGGCCCCCAGTTCCTCATCTGGAAAATGGAGGTGAACTGATAGAATCCCACAACAGCATTTAGCAGCATGCAGCAAACAGGCCATGCCTTTAAATAGGAACTTTTTTTGGTTTTTGGTGTCTTCTTCATCAGCTGCTGTCTCACTCTCTTCTCTGCAGTCTTGGGAAGCAACTAATCGAAAGGGCTCACTCCCCATAACAGCATCCACCCCTAACCCTTTCCTGCAGACTGGAGAACCCAGGCCCAGGCAGTGAACTGTCCACAGCAGAGCTGGGACAAGAACTGGTTCTTCTGCTCTCCTGGCCTGAGCTCTTCATTTAATTTTAGGTTTTTTTTTTTTTTTTTTTTGAGATGGAGTCTCGCTCTGTCACCCAGGCTTGAGCGCAGTGGTGTGATCTCTGCTCACTGCAACCTCCACCTCCCGGGTTCAAGCAATTCTGCCTCAGCTTCCTCAGTAGCTGGGACCACAGGAATGTGCCACAGTACCCCGAGCTAATTTTTGTATTTTTAGTAGAGACAGAGTTTCTCCATGTTGGCCAGGCTAGTCTTGAACTCCTGAGCTCAGGTGATCCACCTGCCTCAACCTCCCAAAGTGCTGGGATTACAGATGTGTGCCACTGTGCCTGGCCTATTTCTGAGATGGAGTCCTGCTTTGTCACCTATGCTTGAGTGCAGTGGTGTAATCACAGCTCACTGCAGCTTCAGCCTCCCAAGCTCAAGAGATCCTCCCACCTCAGCCTCCCAAGTAGCTGGGACTACAGGTGCCCACCACCATGCCCAGCTAATTTTTTTACAATTTTTTGTAGAGACAGGGGTCTTTCTATGTTGTCCAGGCTGGTGTCAAACTCCTGGGCTCAAGGGATCCTCCTGCCTCCGCTTCCCAAAGTGTTGAGATTACGGGCATGAGCCCTGCACCCAGCGTGAGTTTTGTCTCTTATGTTTGTTGTGGAGGGGCAGCATAAGGGGCACACATGGGCCCTCACTAAGTCCTGCCTACAAACAACAAGGGAAGGGAGTCTTCAGGGTGCCTGTCCAGACCCCACTTGGGATGTGTGCACACAGCAGCCGGGTGGCAGGTGAGGGCAGAGGCGGTGCTCAGCAGGGGCTCAGTCAGGGACCATACCTGACCATGACGTAGGAGATGCCGAAGTCGGGCAAGGACTGCCAGGCCTGGATGAAGCGAAGCTGGGCCTCTGCCAGTGACAGCTGGGCCACATTCTGGTGGGCTTCCAGGATCCGTGGGGTGAGCTGTGGGACCATACTGGTGACAGGCTGAAGGTACTATTTCCTTCTCCCAAAGTCACCAAGCCCCCACCTCCCTGTCAGGGTGACAGCCTGTGAGCCTGGGAATGGCAGTGCCCAGGTGGGGCTGCCAAGGTGCAGATTTGCACTGTGCCAGGCATGAGGTGGACGGGGCCACCTAGACCGTGACTCCTCCCAGAGGGTGGGGACCAGCCATGCAGCTTCAGGGACGCAGTGGGAGAAGCCCAGTGAGCACATGGCTTTCCCAAGGAAGGCTTTGTGGAGACCCAGGGCTCAGGGGTGTCTGGGTAAACACTGTGCTCATTCCCACCCTGACTCCCTCTGGTACCTGCTTGGCCTTAAACTTTCGCTGGAAACGGGGGGCCACCAGGCCATAGGGGTTGAGGCCCTCGGTAGAGGCATCAGGGCCCTGGGGGTGGTTGCCCGGGCCCCCGCCGCCCGTGCGCTGCAGGCTGAGGAAGGCCAGGATGGCCTGCACCTCGCTGGTATAGCTACTGTCGGCCATGGTTCGGCCCTTGGAGGCCAAGCGGCAGCCGGCCATCCAATGGGCATATTGCTGCTCCTGGGTGGGGGGGGTGAGGGGGACAGCGCTAGCCAAGCCCTGACCCCGGCCCCTGTCCCATCCTTGATGACCCTCAGCCCCAGCCCCTGCCCCAGCTCCTGCCTGGCCCTCACTCACATCCTGGCACCGAAGGTAGATCTCACTCATGCCCTCAGGGGAGGGCACTAGGAGTTTAATGCAGAACTTCTGGCCAGAGACATTAACATCAGGGACCACCTCACAGCCTGGAGGGAGAGAGGGGTGGCCTAGGAGGTCGGGAGGGGCAGCGCCACTTGAGGTCCTGGAGTACATGCCAGCTCCACATCATAACCTCAGGACAGAGGGTATCTTGCCGTCTCCGGGAGGAAACCAGCCGACAGGTGGGGACCGCACCCACCCCTGCTCTGGTACACTCACCTTTGAGGTTGAGCTGCTGGATGGGGTCACCCGGGGCCTCGTCCTGGTTCTTGTAGTAGGACAGTGTGGTCTCCTTGAACACCACCCAGTGCTGGCGGTAGCCCTTCAGGGTCAGCTTCCGGGGCCTTTGTGGAATTCGGGAGGTTTGTGAAAGACCACCTGGCCCCCTCCCTCCATAGGCAGACTGGGCCCTCCAGCAGTGCTACCTACTCTGGCCCCCAACTCACCGGAAGATTCGGAGATGGTCCTTGAGCTCTGGGATGGTGGTGAGGCTGTCCTATGGGAGGAACAGAGTCAGAGGGGCACCCAGGGCCTCACATATGTCACTGCCCAGTCCTCACCCTGAGCCCCTCCTCACCAGCACGTCTGTGGGCGCCGACCCCTCCAGCTTCACCTCCAGGTTGCTCAGGGCCGCATCCAGGTCATCCAGCCCTGGGTCTGTGCCAGCCGGCTCCCCCACCTCCCCGCTCTGGGACAGCTTGCTGATGTGGTACTAGGTGGGCATGAAGCCAGGGAGGGCTCAGTCCAGCAGCGGGTCCCGTAGCAGTGCCCCCAGGCCGGGCTTCCCTGGAGGTAGCCCCCACTCTGGAAGGCCCTTCCTGCCCTGGGACTAGCCCACCTCCCAGCCACTCCCATGCCCCCAGGCCCGCCTGGTACCTGCAGGGCGGCAAACACCATCATCTCCTCCTCCGTGCAGTCAATCTCTTCCAGCAGCAGGTCCCACCGGGCCTGCTCATACAGCTGTGTCAGCCGCACAGGGTCTGTCTGGAGCAGTGGGAGGGGAGGCTGGGCTGGTCAGATGCCAGCTGTCCTGGACGCCCAGCACCCAGCCCCTGCCAGCCTTTGGCCCTCTGTCTGCCCTGCCCTCCTTGCTGAGGCAGGTTCCTTCAGTGGCCAGACATGAGCCGCAGATCCCCACCCCTCCCTTATAGCCCCTGCTGCCCAGGCCTGCACCCATTTCCCCTCTAAACCTTTGTTCGGCTGTGCAGATGTTTACTGTGTGACAGCATGCTGCCCTGAGTGCAGGGGAGACCAAGTAAACCAATCAATGCCAAGTAGTTCAAAGCTGCAATAAACACTATCAAAGAAACGGGTTCCACAGGGAAGTTCACACAAGCCTTCAGTCTAGGGCACCCCAAGTTCAAAGGAGGTGAGAGAATGGAACATGGTGAAGCAGTCAGGGAAGGCTTCCCTAAGGAGGCGACAAGCTGAGTAGAGACAGGAAGGATGACAATGGGTCACTAAAGTGAAGAGTGGAGGAAGAGGATTCCAGAGGAAAGGGACAGGGAGGGCAGAGGCTCCAAGGGGGGATCCCAGTTACCAACACTCCTGCTGAAACCCAGCCAAAATTGATAGCAAAGACATAGGAAGATAAACTCAAAAGGAGAAAGGAGAGGCCAGACACGGTGGCTTTCATCTGTAACCCCAGCACTTTGGGAGATCAAGGCAGGTGGATAGGAGCCCAGGAGTTTCAGACCAGCCTGGGCAACACGGTGAAACCCCATTTCTATTCATAATACAAAAAATTAGCCACGTGAAGTGGCACATGCCTGTAGTCCCAGGTACTCAGGAGTCTGAGGTGGGAGAATCACCTGAGCTGGGGAGGTCGAGGCTGCAGTGAGCTGTGATTGCACCACTGCACCCCAGCTTGGGGGATAGAGTAAGAACTTGTCTCTAAAACAAAGAAGAAGAAGAAAATCTAGAAGATGGAGAGCAAACTATAACTGGGAACTGGGATATGCAGAGAGAGCTGGGGCCTCATGCCTTTCCCCTCTACTGTCTGGTAAATGTCTGGTAAATCCACCAATGAGATTTGAAAAATAGATAGAAAGCAAGCAGCAAAATGAACGGAGATTGGCTGGGTGCGGTGGCTTGTGCCTGTAATCCCAGCAGGTTGGGAGGCGAAGGCGGGTGCATTACCTGAAGTCAGCAGTTCAAGACCAGCCTGGCCAATGTGGTGAAACCCTGCCTCTACTAAAAATACAAAAATTAGGCCAGGCATGGTGGCTCCTATAATCCTAGCACTTGGCCAGGCGCGGTGGCTCAAGCCTGTAATCCCAGCACTTTGGGAGGCCAAGGCAGGTGGATCATGAGGTCAAGAGATCGAGACCATCCTGGTCAAAATGGTGAAACCCTGTCTCTACTAAAGATACAAAAAATTAGCTAGGCATGGTGGCACGTGTCTGTAATCCCAGCTACTCAGGAGGCTGAGGCAGATGGATCACCTGAGGTTAGGAATTTGAAACCAGCCTGGCCAACATGGTAAAACGCTCTCTACTAAAAATACAAAAATTAGCCAGGCGTGGTGTTGCATGCCTGTGATCCTAGCTACTCGGGAGGCTGAGGCAGGAGAATGGTTTGAACCCAAGAGGCGGAGGTTGCACTGAGCTGAGGTGGCATCACTTCACTCCAGCCTGGGTGAAATAGCCCCATCTCAAAAAAAATAAAAATTAGCCAGGCGTGGTGGCACACACCTGTAATCCCAGCTACTTGCGAGGCTGATGCAGGAGTATTGCTTGAACCTGGGGGGTGGAAGTTGCAGTGAGCCCAGGTCGTGCCATTGCACTCCCACCTGGACAAGAGCAAAACTCCATCTCAAAAAAAAAAAAAAAACTCTTACAGAAATAAAGCGCTACACTCATAAAACAAAATCAGAATTTTTTTTCCTCAGATAGTCTTGCTCTGTTGCCCAGGCTGGAGTGCAGTGAGATGAGTAGCCTCTTGAGCTAGGATTACAGGCATGTGTTACCACGCCCAGCTAAGTTTTGTATTTTTAGTAGAGACGGGGTTTCACCATGTTGACCATTCTAGTCTCAAACTCAAACTTTGGGTTTGGGCTCCCAAAGTGCTGGGATTACAGGTGTGAGCCACTGTGCCCGGCCCCAAAATGTTCTTTGTCAAAGGAATGTAGCTGGGCTCAGTGGCTCATGCCTATAATCCCAGCACTTTGGGAGACCAAGGCAGGTAGATCACTTCAGGTCTTGTCTCTACTAAAAATACGAAAATTAGCTGGCTGTGCTGGCGGGTTCCTGTAGTCCCAGCTACGTGGGAGGGTGAGGCAAGACACTCTCTTGAACCCAGGAGGCGAAGGTTGCAGTGAGCTGAGATCGTGCCATTGCACTCCAGCCCAGGCCACAGAACGACTCTATCTCAAAAAATAAAAATAATAAATAATAAATAAAATAAAGGACTGTAACTATAAAGTGATAGTAACTAAGAATGTGTGGCATCGGCAAAGAGAGACAAATCAGTGCAGAGGAACTGAAGACCCAGTCAGAGACCCATACATGTATGTTCACAGGACCCAGGACAAAGGTGATGCCATACTTCCCAGGGACAGGTGCTTCTTCAGTAGACAGCACTGGGGCCACTGGATATCGATGTGTTAAAAAAAAAAAAAAAAAAAGAGTATTTGCAGGAGGCTGAGGCAGGAGAATTGCCTGAACCCAGGAGGCGGAGGTTGCAGTGAGCTGAGATCGTGCCATTGCACTCCAGCCTGGGTAACAAGAGTGAAACTCCGTCTCAAAAAAAAAAAAAAGAGTATTTGGATTCCTACCTGAGACCACACACAAATACCAATTCAGATGAATTGCCAATCTAAATATGAAAGTTAAAATAATAGGCGGGGTGCAGTGGCTCACGCCTGTAATGCCAACATTTTGGGAGGCCAAGGCGGGTGGATCACCTGAAGTCGGGTGGTTGAGACCAGCCTGATCAACATGGAGAAACCCTGTCTCTAGAAAACTACAAAATTAGCTGGGTGTGGTGGTGTATGCCTGTAATGCTACTCGGGAGGCTATGGCAGGACAATAGCTTGAACCCGGGAGGTGGAGGGCGAGATGAGCCGAGCTCAGGTGACTGCACTCTAACCTAAGCAACAAGAGTGAAACTCTGTTTCAAAAAACCAAAAACAATAAAGCCTTTAGAGAAAACACGGGGCTACCTCTCCTGAAGTAGGAAAGATTCTTTGATGCTTTTTGTTTTTTTAGAGATGGTGTCTCTCTGTGTTGCCCAGGCTGGTCTTGAACTCCTGGCCTCAAGCAATCCTTCTGCCTTGGCCTCCCAAAGTGTTGGGATTACAAGCATGAGCCACTACACCTGCTCGGAAAGATTTCTTTTTTTTTTTCCAAGATGGAGTTTTCACTCTTGTTGCCCAGGCTGGAGTGCAATGGTACAATCTCAGCTTACTGCAACCTCCGCCTCCCAGATTCAAGTAAGTCTCCTGCCTCAGCCTCCCAGGTAGCTGGGATTACAGGCATTACCACCACGTCTGGCTAATTTTTTGTAGTTAGTAGAGATGAGATTTCACCATGTTGGTCAGGCTGGTCTCGAACTCCTGACCTCAGGTGATCCACCCACCTCAGCCTCCCAAAGTGCTGGGATTATAGGCATGAGCCACTGCGCCAGGTCAAGAAGACAAGAAAGATTTCTTTTCTTTTTTCTTCTGAGATGGAATCTCACTTTTGTTGCCCAGGCTGGAGAGCAATGGTGCAATCTCAGCTGACTGCAACCTCTGCCTCCCATGTTCAAGCGATTCTCCTGCCTCAGCCTCCCAAATAGCTGAGATTACAGGCACCTGCCACCATACCTGGCTAAATTTTGTGTTTTTAGTAGAGACAGGGTTTCACCATTTTGGCCAGGCCAGTCTTGAACTCCTGACCTTGTGATCCACCCACTTTGGGTGGATAATCAAGTGAGCCACTGTGCCTGGCTGAAAGATTTCTTTCTTTTTTTTATTGCATTTTAGGTTTTAGGGTACATGTGAAGAACATGCAAGATATTTGCATAGGTACACACGTGGCAGTGTGATTTGCTGCCCTCCTCCCCTTCTTAAACGGGACACAAAATGTGTTAATCATACATGTGAAAAAAGATCCCAAGTACTCAGGAAATCAAAGCAGGAGGATCACCTGAGACCAGGAGTTTGAGACCAATCTGGGCAATGTAGCAAGACTCTATCTCTAAAAAATTTTTAAATTAGGCCAGGCACGGTGGCTCATGCCTATAATCCCAGCATTTTGGGAGGCCAAGGCAGGCGGATCATGAGGCTGGGAGTTCAAGGCCAGCCTGACCAACATGGTGAAACCCTGTCTTAACTAAAAATACCAAACATCTGGCAGACATGGTGGTGCATGCCTGTAATCCCAGCTACTCAGGAGGCTGAGGCAGGAAATCACTTGAACCTAGGAGATGGAGGTTGCAGTGAGCCAATAACACACCATTGCACTCCAGCCTGGGCGACAGAGTGAGACTCCGTCTCAAAAAAAAAAAAATTTTTGTTTTAATTAGCCAGGCTTGGTGGCACATGCCTGTAGTCCCAGCTACTCAGAAAGTTAAGGCAGGAAGATTGCTTGAGCCCAGGACACAAGGTTACAGTGAGCTATGATTGCACCACTGCACTCTAGTCTGGGAGACAGAGCGAGACCCCATCTCTAAAAATAAAAAAAGAAAGATAAAAATATAAATTTGGTTCTATTAAAATTAGGAGCTGCTTTTTATCAAAAGAAACCAGAGAATTAAAAGGCAAAGCACAGAGGGGGAAAATATATTCACAATGTATTTATCTGGCAAAGTGCTCATATTCAGAATATATAAAGAACTCCTACAAGTCAATAAGAACAAGACAAACAACTCATATGACAATTGTCAAAGTATTTGAGCAGAAACCTCAGAAAGTGGGGTACGCAGATGGCTAACAGCCATATGAAAAGGGACTCAACTTTAATAGTCATCAGGGAAATGTAAATTAAAGCCACGTGGAGAGC